TTTATCCTTGAACTTCATTGTGTAATCAAAGGGAAATTTACAAGTCTGAAAAATGGGAACTGACTTCCAGAGCCAGGGAGAGGAACAAATTCAATAGCTGCATTATTAGACCACCTTATTAGAATCCTTCAGGGAAGACATAACTGTGGTGTAAATCAGTATCACCAAGGAAAAAAACTCTAGGCCTCATTTCAAAACCATGACAGACAGCCCAAGAATCTCAGAACACAAGTACCATTTAATTCTTGGTTCCTGGAGTGAGAGTTTGTTATGATGCCCTTGCTTCTTAGCTTCCTGTGAACAAAAATCTAGATACTGGGATGGAAAGCCATGGCAGACAGGTGCAGTAGCATGGCGACATTAAATTAAGAAGTCTTTCAGAGGATTACTAGAATATCAGTGATTTCTCCAGCGTTTCCTTTGAGCTTCCCTTCCTTGATTCTGGTAGCCTAATCTGTTAAGTGTGACTTTAGCTGTTGCGAAGGGCCACTCCAGTTCAGATGACAACTGTCAGAAGGATATGTTTGGGAGCTGATGAGATCTTTAGCTGTCTAACTACTTTTAGAATATAATGTCTTGGGAAGTTTATAAACTTTATGAGTTTTATAAACTTGATGAGTGTTGTAGTTCATAATCAGATACATGTGTTTAGAGCCAGGCTAGGCATTCTTGAGGATCTAAAGAAAGTTTGGTAAATTTTCAGATTATTTAATTATCAGGTCTTGAATACCCATCCACCACAGCAAAGTCAGGAGTTGTACAGGATATAGAGTCTTTGGAGCATTAATAAAATAATGGAGGACCCATAAAAGACTTAAAAATGCAAAATGACATTACAGATCTAACCATTTATATAACTAGTTGCATCCATGCAGAAATATTCTGATACATGAATAAATACATAAAATAATAATGACATGTGAATACATTCTTCAAATGTGAGTCTTGGTAAGAGAAATATTAAAATCTAGGTGCTGTTTGTGGCTTTACCATTTGCAAACTATACCAATTCCAATCGCCACAGAAAACATTCTTCTCATCTGTAGATGGGGGTTAATCATTGCTCTCTGAACTACTTCATGAGTGTTTACAATATCAAGTGAGATGAAGTATGCAGAAGTAATTTAAAAGATGTATGTGATAAGCACATGCCATGTGGATTTATTATTGTGTACAACCTCACTGAGACTCAAATATATAGAAAACTAGATAGTATACAGTTACCACTAGAGTCTTTCTCTCACATTTGGTATGATTCATCTTAAGTGATGTCCATGACTTTTGCTTCTGTTTTATACCCTTTCTTTCTCTATATATTTTTAAGTTTATAAACATTGTTTATATTTATTGTGTACAGCATGATGTTTTGAAATAAGTCTACACTGTGAAATGGCAAAGTCAGGCTAATTCATTACCTTACATACAATTTGTGTATTTGTGTGGTGAGAACACTTAAAATTTGTGCTCTTGATGACTCTGAAGTCTATAGAACATTGCTGTCAACTAGTCACCATGTCATACAGTAGATCTCTTGAATTTTCTCCTCTTGTCTAAACTGAAATTTTGAATCCTTTGATCAACATCTTCCAACACTCTTACCCCCAACCTGTGCTCTCTGCTTCTGAGTTCTACATACATGAGATCCCATGTTATTTGTCCTTCTGTGTGAGGATCATTTTATGTCATATGAAGTCATTCAGGTTCATCCATTTTGTTGCAAGTAACAGAACTTCCTTCTTTCACGAGACTGACTAGTATTTCATTATGCATATATCCCACACTTCCTTTCTCCTTTCCTCTGTTATCAGATGATTAGGCTGATTCCGTGTCTGGCTATTATGAATAATGCTTCAGTGAACCTAGGGATGCAGATATCTTTTCATCATACCAATTTCATTCCCCATGGATACCTACTCAGTAGCAGGATGGCTGGATCATAAGGTAGTTCTAATTTTAATTTCTTGAGAAACTACCATGCTGTTCTTAATAATGTTAGAACCAAATTACACTCCCACTTATAGCTTGCAATTTCTTTTCCACATTTGCTGATGCTTTTTATTTTCATCATTTTTAAATTTTTTATTTTTATTTATACATGACAGTCGAATGTATTTTGACATATTGCACATACATGGAGTATAACTTGCCATTCTTGTGGTTGTACATGATGTTGACTTATACTGGTTGTGTATTCATATATGAACACAGGAAAGTTATGTCCAATTCACTCTACTCTCTTTTCTATTCCCATCTGTCATCATTTTGATAATAGTCCTTCTAACAGCTGAGGTGATATCTCTTTGTGATTTTTAATTTGCATTTTTCTAATAGTGATTTTGAGCACTTTTGAGATACCTATTGGCCATTGGTATGTTTCTCTTTTGAGAAGTGTGTATTTATGGTTTCCCTCATTATTAACTGGGTTATTTATTTCTTGCCATCCAGCACCACTATGGAAAAGGCCATCTTCCCTTCAATGCATTGCTTTTTCACCTGTGTCAAAAATCTGTTATGCAAGCTAATATGGGTCAGTTTGGGGATTCTCTGTCTGTTCCTTTCACCTGTGTGTCTATTGCTGCACCTATGTCACGCCATCTTGGTTATTATAACTATTAAGTACATCTTCATTTCAGGATGAGTGATTCATCCCACTTTATTTTTATTTGTTCAGAATTGTTGTAGCTAATCTGAGGCTTGTGCTTTTGCATGTAAATTTTAGAATGACCTTATGTATGTCTACAAAAGACCTTGCCAAGATTTTGATAGGAATTGCAATAAAGCTATAGATTAATTTTGAGAGAATGGACATCTTTACTGAGTTGAATCTGTTAACCCACAAACATCTTTACTGAGTTGAATCTTTAATCTGTCTATTTATTTAGGTCTTTTTTTTTCTTTTAATGGCATTTTGTAATTTTCAGGATACAGATTCTGTACCTGTTTTGTTAGTTTTATAAAAGTATTTCATTGCTATGGAACAATTGTAAATGGTAATAATATGTTTCAAATTAATGAGTGTTCTCTCAGAGATCCCTCCCTCCCCCAAAGAAAGAAATGTAGGGTTAAAAACAGACCTTAAAGATGTCTGATCATAGTTGATGTTTTATATGATGCCCTGCCTTCCTGTCTGAGGGGGTTTACCATCCCAGTGAAGCCAGTGACCAACTACAACCACAGGCTTCATCTAGGAACCTTTGTTCTCATATTTTTAATTGAAAATCTGAGCTGAATGACCTTGAGGTAGTTCCTCATACCCTGAAGTTTAATGTTCCCTTTTTATAAAATTACATAATAATGCTAAATAATGCAGGGTAGATGTGATTAAATTTAATGAGATAACATATGAAAGTATCTAGCATACAGTAAATAATCAAGAAATGTTTCCTTCCTTTCCCCTTTTCTCTTTTACTTTCTCTCTCTCTCTCTCTCTCTCTCTCTCTCTCTCTCTCTCTCTCTCTTCCTTCCTCTTTCTTGCCATTCATATTTATGACACCTTGTCAGTCCTTTATGGTAGGTGGAGACAATCTATCTGTTCCCATCTAGGGATGGTCACAGGTCTCCTACAGCCTGGCTGGTTGATTTGGAGGCTGGCTCCCCCATGTTCAGCTGGTCCCCTGGAACTCCTCCCCCTCCTCCTCCATACCTCATTCTGCTGGATCATGTGGCTGGTGATGAGGATAATTAAGTGACAGTTTGTTTTTTCATTTAAAATTCTTATGCTAAGCTGTATGGTGAGTTTTCATGCACAATGAGCCACTGCCTATGTTTTCATGAAAGGAAGGTGGTCTGTGGTCGTTAAGTAGCATGAGTAGGTGAACATGGCTCTAACAGGCAACTGAAGCCCCTCAGGTTTTATTTCATTTGGGTGCAGACCTCAGCAAAATATAAAATAGTAGAGAAGCAGGCAGATGCAGAGACTCTCCTGAAGCTCTTGGCCTGAGCACATAGTAATAGTCCCAGCTGAGAGTGGGCCAAGGAAGATCGTCAGCCTCCCAGGAGAATCAGCCCGAAACAGGAACAGTTTATGTAGAAGCCTTTTTTAAGACATTAATTAATTAATTAATTTGTTCTAATTTGTTATACATGACAGCAGCATGCATTCCAATTCATAGTACACAAATGGAGCGCAATTTTTCATTTCTCTGGTTGTACATGAAGTAGAGTCATTCCCTTCAGTAAATTAATGTAGAAGCCTTGAAGAAGTGCAGGAAGGGAAAGTAATTCCTCCTTTAGACAACACTCAAATTTAACTGGAGTCTTTCTACAGCTGATTATGCTGTTTTTTCTTCTCCCTGCTTTGACACATTCTTATCCAGTTAATTTGTAACAATCCTCTTCCCATCCCCAGTAGAAGCTGAGGGCCAAATGTATGACTCTGGGATTGTGCTGGACCTCAGAAGCCCTTGTAAGTGCAGACTGAGGGCATCAACTACAGCATCCTAATTGCTGTCAGATGACCAATTATTCTAAAGAGTCAGAGCCTAGAAAAATTATATTACATCTGTCCTCCACTCACAGGTGTCAAACCAAGATGGAAACTGTAGACAAGAAAATCCAGTACAGCCCCAGCTTTGAAGGATAACTTATGAGATAAGGAAGCTTTTTTTTTTTTAAAATCTATTCATTTTCCATTAGAAATTTAAGTGCTTCTTTTGAATTGTATTGGTTTAGGATTCAGAGAGCCACTCAAAATAGAACTTTAAATGATTGTTGGTCTTTGATAATGTATATTTTTAATTTCTCTTCAAGGGCTGCTTGTCCTGGTGATAATTTCTCTCCTGGAGTTCCCCCTTTCAGGCAGTTTTAGTAGAAGTCATGAGCACAATTGTGTTTAGAGCACAGTTAGCCCACAAGAGTAAGCTGGCCTCTGCCAGATTCCTGCCAAATGTCTGATGCACCCAGCCTGAGCTCATCTCATCTTCTGGAGCCTAATGCTTAATGCACTGAGCCCTGACCACAGTGAGCTCACCCATATTGATCTCTTCCTCTCCTTTTTCCAGCAAGGACTGAAAATAACCCACCATGCAGAGAAAACACTGTCCAGCTTCTGCAAGTGGCAGAAGAGCATCAATCCCAAGAGTGACCTCAATCCTGTCCATCATGATGTGGCTGTCCTTATTACCAGGTATGCCAGAGACTATGAGGAATCTGGGGGCAGCAAGTTGCATGGAGCTGGTAGCAGAAAGGCTTGCCAATTACTCGTGTTTATGAGATTCTCACTGTTCTTTGCTACTTTTGTTCATCAGTGGCCTAGGCAGCTCCTGACCCCATCACACTTGGCTAATATGACAGAGCCCTCCTTGATGATAAACTGTAGCACAATGAAGATTTCCTATTTAAACTGGCTGCTTCATCCAGCTCTAAATACAATCAAGAAGCTTGTTTCCAGAGCCTCATAAAAGACTCCTGTAACTCCCATTCATTTGACCCAGCTACACCACTGCTGAGTATTTATCCAAAATATTAAAATAAGCACATGGTAGGAATACAATGCCTACCCAGGTTTATAGCAGTGCAATTCACAATAGCCAAGCTGTGGAACCAGCCTAGGTGTCCATCAACAAACAAATGGATAAATAGAATGTGGTATAAATATGGAGTTGAGTTTTATTCGGCATAAAGAAGAGTGAAATTATATCAATTTCAAGAAAATGGATTAAACTAAAGAACATCATGTTAAGTGAAATAAACCAAACTCAGAAAGTCAAGGGTTGTATGTTTTCTCTTACGTGTGGAAAGTAGAAAGAAAAAAAGAGGAAAAAGGGATCTCCTGGAAGTATAAGGGAGACCAGTAGAATTAAAGAAGAGTTTCAGGGGAAGGAAGGTGAAGGGGAAAGGGGACGTACTGGGGAAGAAAATGATCAAATTACATTATGTGCCTATATAAATATGTCATGATGAATCCCACTATTACATATAATTGCAATGCATCAATAAGAAGTTTTAAAGACTTCTGCAACTTTAAATCAGTGGAATTTCCAATTCTTTGTTTTTATGTTTAAAAAATTCTCCAATTAATAAAATGCAACTTTTTCTACAGAAATCTATTTTCTTTTTTAAAGCACAAAGCAAACACACACTAACTGTTGTTGAGAATATAAGGAACAGGTGCTCCATTGAGTAGGCAGAGTGGTTGGGTTATACCTTTCTCCCTTTTATCCCCATAACAATATGGTTCTGTTCTGATCACACATAGACCCTGTGGTACTAATAAAAACCATCAAGCCTTCCAGGACTCATAACTGTGAAGAGCCAGTGAATTTTCCTGGTCAGCCCAGGTCCTTTGAAGTCTGTTTTCTTATTTATGCCTAAACCATTTATTGAGCTAATAAATGTATTGAACTCACCCACCCCTACTCTGGAAGAACCATATTCCTACAATTTTTTTTTTACTTTCTTCCCCCCTCTGCCCCCCGCTTTAAAACTAAACACTTAGTAAGCTCTCCATAAACAATTTCTTAGTGGACACGACCTCTTGCCATATCAACCTGAGAAGGTCAGTGGATTAGCAGTACTGTGTGCCAGGCACTACAGAAGAGTTTACATTCTAAAAGGGATAAATTAGTTTTCTGGGCACCCTATGCAGATTCAGAGGCATTCATAAATCAAAAATAGAAAAAGCCTCTGGGCCCTGCCCTTCAGCCACAGAGAACCAGAGCCCCTGTGCTACATTCCACATCCACACCAACCTATTTTCCGGGAGAACTACTGATCAACCCAAGGTGTCACAGAACCCAATGAACCTACTATTACAGGTTTGTGCTAAAGATTTCCCTGGGAACATATTTGCATTTAACCAGGTTCTCATAATTTCACTTGAAAAAGTGATTCTGATGGTTGGAGTTTCTGATCAGAGTAAGGCAGGTATTTGTAGAGTATGGGGACTGATTTTTCATCTCCTGTAGACATTCTTTGCACTGCATGATGACAGAACCAAGGTATTCGAAGGAAGCCTGTCCTTCACAGGACAACCCATTCCCAGGGCCTTCTTAGAAGTGGAAAGACTTTCAAGTTCTAAAATAAAACTCAGTAATATTGGCATTTTGGGCTGGATAATTCTGTTTTGTGGGTTGTTGTCTTCTATGTTGTGGTATATTTAGCAGCATCTCTGACCTCTGCTCATGAGATGCCAATAGCATCCTCATACAAGTTGTGACAACCCAAACTGTCTCCAGATATTGACAAACATCCTTTTGGAAGGGATGAAAAGCAAAATCACCTCCCTGCCCCACTCAAACCATTTTGAAAACCATTGGCCTGAAAAAATTAGTGGGATCAGGGAGAAAAGGAGATATGAGACTGAGCTTTGCCAGTACAGACTAGTCTGAGATCCACATTAACAGAATTCTCTAAAGAGCTGTATTCAAGAGAAGGTGGATTTGGCTGGGAACATAGTCCATGTGTTTGCACTGGCAGCTAGTGGTGGTATTCCAAGGCATATTTTCTCTTATATACTGTCCCTGGTGCACAGTGGAAGTTGAGCTAATCTCCTTGTGGAGGCTGAAGCCCCTTACCTGAAAGAACCATATTCCTACAATGTTTTATTACCTTCTCCCCCCACCCTTTAAAGCTAAACACTTAGTAGGCTCTCCATAAACAATGACCTAGTGGACACGACCTCTTGCCATATCAACCTGAGAAGGTCAGTGGAGTAGAACTGAGGGCCATGCATCTTCCCTAGAAACTCCCTGAAGACCTGCACTTTTTGAATGAAATAGTAACAAGTGCATCCTGCAGAAGAGATAGGAGCATGTTCAATTGTTTCTCCTATAGAAATATTTAAATGATTGGGTTGTCTCTGATTTGATATCTAGCTCCTTGATCCACTTTGAGTTAACTTTTGTGCATGGCGAGAGGAGGGGATTCAGTTTCATTTTGTTGCATATGGATTTCCAGTTTTCCCAGCACCATTTGTTGAAGATGCTATCCTCCCTCCATTGCATGCTTTTAGCTCCTTTATCAAATATAAGATAGTTGTAGCTTTGTGGATTAGTCTCTGTGTCCTCTATTCTGTACCATTGGTCCACCCTCCTGTTTTGGTACCAGTACCATGCTGTTTTTGTTACTATTGCTCTGTAATATAGTTTTAAGTCTGGTATCGCTATACCGCCTGATTCGCACTTCCTGCTTAGAATTGCTTTTGCTATTCTGGGTCTTTTATTTTTCCATATGAATTTCATGATTGCTTTATCCATTTCTACAAGAAATGCCATTGGGATTTTGATTGGCATTGCATTAAACCTATAGAGAACTTTTGGTAATATCGCCATTTTGATGATGTTAGTTCTGCCTATCCATGAACAGGGTATATTTTTCCATCTTCTAAGATCTTCTTCTACTTCTCTTTTTAGGGTTTTGTAGTTTTCATTATATAAATCTTTCACCTCTTTTGTTAGGTTGATTCCCAAGTATTTTATTTTTTTTGAGGATATTGTGAATGGAGTGTTTTTCCTCATTTCCGTTTCAGAAGTTTTGTCACTGATATACAGAAATGCCTTTGATTTATGCGTGTTGATTTTATATCCTGCCACTTTGCTGAATTCATTTATTAGTTCTAGTAGTTTTTTTTGTAGACCCTTTTGGGTCTGCTAGGTATAGAATCATGTCATCTGCAAATAGTGATAATTTAAGTTCTTCCTTTCCTATTTTTATGCCTTTAATTTCTTTCGTCTGTCTAATTGCTCTGGCCAGTGTTTCGAGAACTATATTGAATAGAAGTGGTGATAGAGGGCATCCCTGTCTTGTTCCAGATTTTAGGGGGAATGTCTTCAATTTTTCTCCATTGAGAATGATGCTAGCCTGGGGCTTAGCATAGATAGCTTTTACAATGTCGAGGTAAGTTCCTGTTATCCCTAGTTTTTCTAATGTTTTGAACATAAAGGGATGCTGTACTTTGTCGAATGCTTTTTCTGCGTCTATTGAGATGATCATATGGTTCTTATTTTTAAGTCTATTGATGTGGTGAATAACATTTATTGATTTCCGTATATTGAACCATCAGGGTCGGGCTCCAAATTCCTTAATAGGACACCCATAGCACAAAAGTTTATAACAAAAATCAACAAATGGGACTTACTTAAACTGAAAAGTTTTCTCTCAGCAAGAGAAACAATAAAAGAGGTAAATAGGGAGCCTACATCTTGGGAACAAATTTTTACTCCTCACACTTCAGATAGAGCCCTAATATCCAGAGTATACAAAGAACTCAAAAAATTAAACAATAAGAAAACAAATAACCCAATCAACAAATGGGCCAAAGACCTGAACAGACACTTCTCAGAGGAGGACATACAATCAATCAACAAGTACATGAAAAAATGCTCACCATCTCTAGCAGTCAGAGAAATGCAAATCAAAACCACCCTAAGATACCATCTCACTCCAGTAAGATTGGCAGCCATTATGAAGTCAAACAACAACAAGTGCTGGAGAGGATGTGGGGAAAAGGGTACTCTTGTACATTGCTGGTGGGACTGCAAACTGGTGTGGCCAATCTGGAAAGCAGTATGGAGATTCCTGGGAAAGCTGGGAATGGAACCACCATTTGACCCAGCTATTGCCCTTCTTGGACTTTTCCCTGAAGACCTTAAAAGAGCGTACTACAGGGATACTGCTACATCGATGTTCATAGCAGCACAATTCACAATTGCTAGACTGTGGAACCAACCCAGATGCCCTTCAATAGATGAATGGATAAAAAAAATGTGGCATTTATACACCATGGAGTATTACGCAGCACTAAAAAATGACAAAATCATAGAATTTGCAGGGAAATGGATGGCACTAGAGCAGATTAAGCTTAGTGAAGCTAGCCAATCCCTAAAAAACAAATACCAAATGTCTTCTTTGATATAATGAGAGCAACTAAGAACAGAGCAGGGAGGAAGAGCAGGAAGAAAAGATTAACATTAAACAGATACATAAGGTGGGATGGAAAGGGAGAGAAAAGGGAAATTGCATGGTAATGGAGGGAGACCCTCATTGTTATACAAAATTACATATAAGAGGTTGTGAGGGGAATGGGGAAATAAACAAGGAGAGATATGAATTACAGTGGATGGGATAGAGAGAGAAGATGGGAGGGGAGGGAGGGGGGATGGTACAGGATAGGAAAGGTAGCAGAATACAACAGTTACTAATAGGGCATTATGTAAAAATGTGGATGTGTAACCGATGTGATTCTGCAATCTGTATTTGGGGTAAAATTGGGAGTTCATAACCAACTTGAATCTAATGTATGAAATAGGATATGTCAAGAGCTTTATAATGTTTTGAACAACCAATAAAAAAAATAATAAATGATTGGGTTGTATGATGTAGCTCAATGAGCCACCCAGAGCTGCTGCCATTGAGGGCAGGACTTAATCTGTGGTGTGTATGTGCTGAGAATGAGCTGTTCCCTGCTGTTTCAGCCATTGCCATCCAGAGAGATACCCCTCACACAGGTTCTCAGACCATGGGTCTTTTCCATGGCCCAAAGGACACAAAAACCAGGAGACCATTTTATGCTAGAAATGGGGCTACACAGCTCCATTAACAAAAGGTTTCAATTATCTAAAGCTCAGGACTTCATTGGTATTCATGCTAGTCAAGAAGTATTGGCCAAGAGCTCTTCTTATACGGAAGAAACTCAAATGCCCAATTAATCACTCTTCCAAAACTCTTGTCAGTGATTGAAATAATCCGTGATAGAATGAGAGCACATTTTTTACATTTAAAAGTTGTAACTATTTTTTATGAGGTTCTAGGAACCTTTCCTCTCTTTTTCCAGGGTCAGTAAATAGTGAATTACTGGTTACAAGAAGCAGCAAGATTCGAGAGAGTTTGTGTGTGTGGTGGGGGTGGGGGGCGTGCACTCCCTCTTGTGCGAAGTATTGAGAGTGTGTAGGGGCTAGACAATTGATTTGATTTTTGTATGATAGAAACAATCAACTTTTTCATAAATAAAAGAAGTTCTTCAATGAGGTCTTTTAAACTTTTCCATTAGTGTCCCATAGGTACACCTAACAGTGGGGTCCATCCCAACACATCATTCATGCATGGAATGAAATTCGGTCCACCTCATTTCCCAGCACTACCTCCCTCTCCCTGCACTCTACTTCACCGTCCTGCCTTCATTCATCCACTCCACTGTTTCTCTAAGTTGATGCTTTACAGGTGTACACAAAGGTGGAGTTCACTGTGGCAGATTTATAAATGGACGTAACATAATTTGGTCAATTTCGTTTCAGTTCTTTTCTTTTCCTCTCTCCTCATTCCCCCTTAATCCCCTTCCTCTACTCCATTGATCTGCCCTCTAATTTCACGGGGTCTCCCCATTTTCCCCTTATTTTGCTCTAGCTTCTGCATATGAGAGAATATTCAACCCTTAACTTTCTGAGTCTGGCTTATTTGATGTAGCACGATGTTCTCCAATTCTGTTCTTAGACCGACAGATGCCATGATTGCGTTTGCTGCTTGGCTATTGTGACTTGTGCGGCTATAAACATTGATGTGGCTATGTTCCTATAGTATTCTGATTTTAGTTCTTTTGGATAAATAATAAGGAGTCAGATAGCTGGGTTAGTGGTGGTTTCATTCTTAGTCTTTGAGGACTTTCCATACTGCTTTCCAAAGTGGTTATACTAATTTGCAGTCCCACCAATGTGTGAGTCTACCTTTTTCCCCACATCCTCATCAGCATTTGTTATTTATTATTTGTATTCTTTTTTTTTGGGGGGGGGGATTATTTTATTTTATTTTGGGGGGGGGGTACTGGGGATTGAACTCAGGGGCACTCGACCACTGAAACACACCCCCAGCCCTATTTTGTATTTTATTTAGAGACAGGGTCTCACTGAATTGCTTAGGTAGGCTTTGAACTTGTGATCTTTCTGCCTCAGCCTCCCAAGCAGGTGGGATTACAGGTGTGTGCCACCACAATTATTTGTATTCTTGATAATTGCCATTCTGACTAGAGTGAGATGAAATCTCAATGTTGTTTTGATTTGCAGTTTCCTGATGAGTTTTGAGCAGAGAACTCAGGAAGACTAAAAAGAAGTTCCATTATTGGGAAAACCCCAGTCACTTCTGATTGTCCCTTCCCTACTTAAAAGTTCAAATTAACTTTAATTTTCAATAAAATCTTCTCCTGTTGGCCAAATCATTTAATTTGGCCTCCTGATATCAAGAGCAAAATCAACTCAAAATAAATATTTAACACATCCCCCCCACAGTTTTTAAGTGTTAGGGAAGTATTATAATTAAGAGGTAAAATCAGAATAAAGTGAATTCAAAATTATCCCCTTCATTCACACGGGCTTTCAGAACTTTAAGCATATTCTACAGACTATATTGATGTAAATTTACACCTAGACGTGTTTCCAGGAAGCAGGTTTCTTCTAGATATTTCTTTGGGTCCCTAAAACATCTCTGTCATCTGCTTTCAGAAAAGACATCTGTGCTGGTGTCAATCGCCCCTGTGAGACCCTGGGTCTGTCCCACTTGTCAGGAATGTGTCAGCCTCACCGCAGTTGTAACATCAATGAAGACTCTGGACTCCCTCTGGCCTTCACCATTGCTCATGAGCTCGGACACAGGTAAAGGGCAGAGCAAGTTGACACCGGCTTGCCATGTTCATGCATCAGTATCAGTAGAAGGAATAAAAATTACCTTAAACTGTTGGGAGATGTCAACTGTTCTGTGGCTTGAGGCTCATCCTCCTAGAACTCCACTTCTCCATCTGTGAAGGGCCAAAAGAGCACAGTTCACAACCTCCAGTGCCTTCTCTGCCCTGACCACTTCAACCCACATACATCAACAAGACCACCACAGTTCTCTGACTCCGAATGGGGTGAGCAGAGGCAAGGAGACCAGTTACTCCTGAATTAACTCAGTTGTTTAATTCAGGAATAAATTCTGATTAGTTCTTAGGACATGGTAATATTAATAACACTAAAAAGTCATAAGCCTAACGTTTTTTGTGTCCTTCCTGCATGCCATTGTGCTTGTCATTATGTCACTGAATCTTCCCAACCAACTTATGAAATAGATTCTATTGTTACTGTTGTTAGCGTCATTTGACTTACGTGTATTAAAAAGGAGAACACTGAATAAATAAGACATTGAAACAACTTGAAAAGAACATTAAGTGAACTCCAGTTAACAGGATACCAAAGTTGTTGCAAAATATAAATGTGTGAATTTGATTTTATGAATCTCTTGAAGAGTGGTTTCCAAATGTTTGATTGAAGGCATAATGAGGATTCTGGATAGGCCAAGTATCAAAGGTTTCCGTGGGGGAAAATCTTAGCTTATTTATAACTTTGTTTTCAACTTTTAGACAGTAACTGTTCTACTTCAGCCAAACAGCATAAGAAAAACAGAACAAAACCAAAACAGCTCTGTAGGCTCACGCCTCTGCATGCTAGCAAAGTCTGAGTGTGGAGCTGAGACTTCCATCCATGCCAGTCTGTAACGAATCACCCAGCACTGCCACTTGGGCATTTAAAAAGTTACATAAGGCACAATGACTTTCATCTTTGCAGGGCAGTTATGAGCACTCCAACCTTCTGTGCCAGTGCAGACAATGTGAGAAGTCAGAAATGCCACTCACTCCAACCTGTAGCACAAGTCAGCTGTGACACCCCTAACAACGCAGGTATCAAGAGGCTTTGTGGAAAACCTGAACTTGTAATTCCAATGTAAAAGATATAAAGAAGAATCAAATGGAATTTGTGGAACTGAAAAAACATGAAAATAAAAATAAAAATCTCAGTGAATGTTCTCAAAAAGCAGAATGGAGGGCACAAAGAAAAGAATCAGTGAACTGGAAAACAAATAAAAATTATGTGATTAGAACAAAGAGAAAAAAGACTGCCAGAAATTAAAAGTCAAAGCAGAATTTTAGAAACACATGAGATTATAACAAAATGTCTTACATTTGGGTCATCAGAAGGAAAGGAGCAAGAATGGGATCGAAAAAGTACTTAAGGTGCAAATGGCTAAAAACTCCCCAGATTTAATGAGGCATCATAGGAAGCCCATAGGTACCTACAGATTTATAAAGCTGGGAGAAGCCCCAAAGGGGGTTAAAGCTAAAGAAAATTCATGCCGAGATCAGTCATAATTAAACTTTGAAGTCTGAAGACAGGAAATCTTAAAAGCAGTGGGAATTGTCTCTTTGCATCTGTAGGAGGAACACACCTTGAATAAAGATAGATTCCCCACCAGAGACCATGGAGGCCCAGAGGAGATGGCACAATATCTTTCAAATGCTGAAAGAAAAGACCTGTCATCAACTAAGGATCATAAACCTAGCAAAGGAAAGAGGAAGGAACAACTTTTAATTCATTTTATGAAACTAGTATTACCCTGATACCAATATCAGACAAAAACATAGTACTGAGGAAAAAACTAAAAAATAATATCCTGCATGAGTATTAATGCAAAAAATTTTAAAATATTAGCAAATAGAATTCCACAAGGTACATTAAAAATGATACAGACACAATGACCAAGTGAGATTTATTTCAAGGGTACAGGCTGGTTCAGTATTTGAAAATCAGTCAGCGTAATGCACCACAGTAACAAGCTAAAGAAGAAATATTCATTTCTCAATAATGCAATTCAGAGAGTTTAGAGTTCGTTTTTGTGTTCAATGGCCAGCACTTTCTTTGGTTTTAGGTTTTCTGAGCCAAGGAGGAGATCCTCCTTCCTTCTGATTTTGTGATTTCAGTTCTGTACCCTTATCTTAATGATGTTATTTTTTAATGGTCTTTATTTTTACATTAAACCATTCCAATGACTTTTAAACATATAGGCAGAGTATTTAAAAAAAATGACATGATCACATCAATTGATGTAGAAAAAGCATTTGACAAAACTCAGCATCCATTTGTTATTATTTTAAAAACTCTCAGAAATAAAAAGAAACTTTCTTAATTTGATAAGGAATATTTCCAAAAGATTGACAGCTAACTTGATACTTGATAGTGAGAGACTGAATATATTCCCTGGATCAGAAAGAAGGCAAGTATACCATTCTCATCACTTCTTATTCAAAGTAGTACTAAAAGCCAGTGCAATTAGACAAGAAAATGAAACAAGAGGCATACATATCAGAAAGGAAGTAATAAAAGTATCCCTATTTGAAGAGAGCATTATCTTATGTGTGGAAAACTCCAGCGAAAACATACACACAAAAAAAAAAGAAGAAGAAGAAGAAGAAGAGGAGGAGGAGGAGGAGGAGGAGGAGGAGGAAGTGAGTTCACCAAGCTCACAGGACGCAATATAAACACATAAAATCATTTGTATTTCTGTATTCTAGCAATGAATAGATGGACACTGAAATGGGAATGAATTAGAAAAAATTATATTTCACGCTTTTATAATTATGTCAAAATAAATACTATTGTTATGTATAACTAAAAAGAGCCAATAAAGGGCCCCCCCCCAATTTTTTTTTAAATCTAATACTTTTTACAATCACTCAAAATTTGATTTTGGACTTTGTAGACTTGTAGAGCTGTAGAATGAAATCCTGTTATTTTAAGCCACCGAGTTTATGGTAATTTTTATGGCAACCTTAGGAAAATAATATATCATACATTTAATGAAGAACTAGTATCTATATGAAAAACTTTCAAAACTCAACTGTAAAAAACAAATAATTAGAAAATGTGCAAAAGACATGAATAAGTATCTCACCAAAAGAATGTACAAATATATTTAGTACATGAAACAATGTTTAAAATCACTAGCTATCAGGGAAATACAAATTAAAACCACAATTATATAGCACTACACACCTACAAGAATAACTAAAATAATGAGGTATAACAAATCCCACTGTTAAGTATAATTATAATGTTATCAGTACTAAAAAGAGAAAAAAAAGACTGAAATAAAAATCAGTTATGACACCAAATGCTATCAAGGATGCAAATAAACTGGATCATACCTCCATTGCTGGAGAGAATATAGAATGGTACAAGCACCATGGAAAACAATTCAGTAGCTTTTCTAAAACTAAACCCACAATTACAACATGACCCAGCAATTATACTCCTGTGTTTTATCTCAGAAAAATGAAGATATATTTTCATATCATAATTTGTACATGAATGTTTATGGAAGCTTGATCATAATAGCCCAAACCAGGAAACAACCCAGGATGTTTCAACCCATCAGGGTAAATGGTTGAGGAAACCAGGATGGATACACATCATGGGACACCAGTCATCAAGAGAAAGGGAGAAACTACTAATACATGTCACAGCCTTGATACCCTTCCAAAGAATGACGCTTAGTGAAAAAAGACCATCTCCAAAGTTGACCTACTATATGATTCCATTTATATAGCATTATAGAAACAAGAAAATTATAGAAATAGAAAACACTGGGGCCAGGTGCCGTGGCGCATGCCTGTCATCCCAGCGGCTGGGAAGGCTGAGGCAGGAGGATCACGAGTTCAAAGCCAACCTCAGCAAAAGGAGAGGTACTAAGCAACTCAGTGAGACCCTGCCTCTAATAAAATACAAAACAGGGCTGGGGATGTGGCTCAATGGTTGAGTGCCCCAGAGTTCAATCTTCAGTACCCCTCCCCAAAAGAAAATAAAACAGTGGGATTTGAGGGAGGGGAGAGAGTACGTACAGCTATGAAGTGCAGCATGAGAAATCATGTGGTTAGGAAAATGTTTGGTCTCTTAACTGTACCAAGATCAATATCATAATTGTGTTATTGTGTTTGCAAACTGTTACTTAGGGGGGAGGTAGGGAAAACATACATGATTATTTCTGTATTATTTCTCACAATTTCATCTGAGCTTGCAGTTATTCTAAAATTTTTTTAAAGTGATTTTTTCTATATTTATCTTATTTATTTATTTTTTTACACAAATGGAGCATAACTTTTTATTTCTCTGGTTGTACATGATATAGAGTCATACCATTTGTGCAATCATACCTGTACATAGGGTAATAATGTATATCTCATTCCACCATCCACCCCCACTCCCTGGCACACACACCCCTCCCTCTTCTGCTCAATCCAAAGTTTCTCCATCCCCACCCTCATTAGGGATCAACATCCACTTATCAGAGAAAACATTTGGCATTTTTTGGGGGAGGGGTTGTTTACTTTGCTTGGCATGCATGATTTTCTCCAACTCTGTCCATTCACCTGTAAATGCCATAATTTCATTCTTCTTTAAGGCTGAGTGATATTCCAATATGTATATATGCCATAGTTACTTTATACATTCATCTATTGAAAGGCATCTAGGTTATTTCCACAGTTTATTAATAATGTGAAGAGAGAGCCAACAGAATGGGAGAAAATCTTTACCACATGCACATCAGATAGAGCACTAATCTTCAGGATATACAAAGAACTCAAAAACCTTTACACTAAAAAAAAACCCAATCAATAAATGGGCTAAGGAAATAAGCAGACACTTCACAGAAGATTCACAATTGATCAACAAATATATGAGAAAATGTTCAACATCTCCAGCAATTAAAGAAATGCAAATCAAAACTACTCAAATATTTCATCTTATTCCAATCAGAATGGCAGTTATCAAGAATTTAAGCAACCGTAAGTGTTACTGAGGATGTAGGGGGAAAAGGTGCACTGATTCAATGCTGATAGGACTGAAAGTTGGTGCAACCACTTTGGAAAGTAGTATCGAAATTCCTTAGAAAATGTGGAATGGAACCACCATTTGACCCAGCTATCCCACTCCTCAGTCTATACCCAAAGGACTTAAAATTAGCATACTACAAGGACACAGCCTCATTAATGTTTATAGCAGCTCAATTTAAAAAGTTTTTAAAAAATGGTATTGGGCCATGTGCAGATGACCTAAAATATATATTTTTTTAATGGCAAAAACAGACACTGGGAAGGGAAAGGAAAGGAAGGTAAGAAAACAGAAATGTTTAGAGTTTTGACTAAGTAAGAAAAAGTTGAAAGAAGATTCATGAGCTTGATTTTGAACAATAGAAAAAAATGCTTTAGTAAGACCCCCCAAAATGGACTAAAGACTTTAGGAGCTTTCTAAGAAGATTTTGTATGTAGCAAAAGATGCTTCTGAGTAGTTAGCTTTTTTTTTTGGGGGGGGGGGGCTAAATACTTCTAATTATCTCTGGACCAAACTGAGAAATAAAATACTGTAAAAATGAAATGGTCTAGAACAACCCAGAGAAGGAAAATGCAATGAACTAATATCCTAAGAAGATACTCGTTGTGATTTACTAACAAAGATACCTCACTATTTCTTGGAAACTTGTTTGTTTCATCACTGATTATACATAACGCTAAAGAGAAGGCAAACTCACTCACCTAACTATGCGTAGGTGAATTCTTTCACTTATTTTGAGAGGAAATTTAAAAATGGACATTTGTGACGGCCCTAGATGATATTAGCCATCCGTCTCTGAAACGTCATGCCACCTTTGTTGGTCCCTAAAGTGAATTACCAAAACTGAAAATAGAATTCCAGAGGGAAATAAAAAAACTTGACACATTGAAAAACAAACTGTTTCCACTGAAGAACAGTTTTTGAACTAGCCACATGGCTCTCACAACTCTATATTTGAGGTAAAGCCATTCATACAACATTTCCTGCTCTTGTGAATTCAAAATTAGCTATGTCTCTCCAGCTTCAAAGTCTGACTTTTCAATAGCTCCTCCTATACAAAAGTATCTCTCTGGGTTATTATCACCTTGGAGAAACTATGATTTTTCTCCCTGTTTAATTCCTGCTCTCTTGATATTCTTGTGCTTTGTGCCAGCTTTGGCATCCAGCATGATGGGAAAGAAAATGACTGTGAGCCCGTGGGCAGGCACCCGTACATCATGTCCCATCAGCTCCAGTACGATCCCACTCCACTGACATGGTCCAAGTGCAGCAAGGAGTATATCACCCGCTTCTTGGAGTAAGTGGCAGTACATCTTATGTCAGCCTCACTTGGGTTTCTTTAAGGTGGGAGATGCATTGAATTTTCCACAGAGGAGCTGCTTCCCGAGAAACACTTGTTTCCATCCCCAGACCACAGTGTCAGGGCAGCACCACAGGGATGGAGTCCACATCTGCTTTCTGACCCTGAGATTTAGAGCTCTGCCCTGCATCCTGCCCTTCCTGGCTGCTCCTGCCCCAAGTTGGCTTTTTGTGATAGGACTGAGAATTAAGTTTGGGGAACTGGCAGGAACAATCAGGACCAGGAGTGTTTAGCCAAACCCTCTTGGGGGTAAGATGATGATTTTCCAATTTTCCCACTTATTTCCTAAACATGGTATGGGGTATGATTTGCATTTCCTTTTACTAAGTCCCTTCTTAGGTCCAGAGGGTTCTCTGGCATGTAAAAATAAAGTTGTCTTGAAGGACAAAGAGTGAACTAGAAGAATGGAAGTTTTTATTGAATGAAACGCTGAAGAGAATACATGAATCATTTGCTCTCATTTCTCTCATTTAACTTGTTTGCAGCCGAGGCTGGGGGTTCTGTCTTGATGACATTCCCAAAAAGAAAGGCTTGAAGTCCAAGGTCATTGCCCCTGGCGTGATCTATGATGTCCACCACCAATGCCAGCTCCAGTATGGTCCTAATGCTACCTTCTGCCAGGAAGTTGAAGTAAGTATTGGATATCTTGGTGCACCTCATGGGTATGTGTAGAGCTTGAAATCTCCAGCATGCTGAAGAAAGGGCCAGGAAAATATTTGGAAATTGGAAGATCCAGAATGAGAAGCTTTATATTATGGCAAGGTATAAATATACCTATGTTCATAAAAGGCAGAAAAATTAAATCTGTGGTCATTTATATTCCTCTTTGGAATTCTGGAATCCACAATTTTTTGCAACCAGATGGTGGTTGAGACTGTTTTATGGTGATTTTCAGGATTCACAGTGATTCATGCCTACAGACTCCATAGTAACCAACATAATACCTAAAGTTGTCCAAGGTAGGAGTATGATTCATCCCCATTACATTCTTCTCCTTTATTTTCAATATTAAGTCAAGCCTTGAAATCTCACCTTCTAAATAGTTCTTGATTACCTCAGCTACTGATTCAATCTTTCAGTATCTTTCCTCGCTATTATAACTCCTACCTAGTCTCTCTCCCATTCAAATTGTTCCTCTGGTTGCTTTAAAAATACACAAATCTAGCCAGGCATGGTGTTACATGCTTATAATCCCAGCAATCTGGGAGACTGAGGCAAGAGGATTGAAAGTTTGAGGCCATCCTAGGCACCTTAGCAAGACCCTGTCTCAGAATAAGAAACAAAAAGGGTTGATTATGGTAGAATATACCTGGTTTCAATTCCCAGTACCATAAAATAATGATGATAACAATAATTAATAATTTTTAAAACCCATATATAGAACCATGGCCGACTTGGTTCTGAGGCTCCTATGGACCCCAGGATGAAATCCTACCTCCATGTGTGGCACTCTTCTATCATTTGGACCCTGCCTGTTCTGTGAACTCACCCTCCTCTTGCAAAAGTACAGATATTGAGACACAGATGAGAAGACAGATCTCGCTGAATCCTTGCCAGATTCTGTGCTATGTTTTGAATAAGATGAAAAAGATAAACCTTCAAAAATTAATAAGACAAAGTCTCTGTCTTCAAGGAGCTCATGGTGGCAAAGGAAATAACAAAAATTTCAACATAGTGAGATAAATACAAAAAGAGACATTGAAAGAACTTAGAAGTGGAAGTAAGAAACTGCTTAAAACAAGCAAAACTTAACAGAGAAGGTAAAGTTGGTGCACTTGGTTACCAAGTGACTCCAGTTGTAAATATCTCTAAAATCCATCCAATCCTAGATCTATAGTGGTTAATCGATTGGTCTCCTCCCTGAAACCAATTTCCTCCCCTCTGCTTTCCTCCACCCACCCAAATGTAGCTAAACCAACTTTATAAATGGAAATCTGCGTGTTTTCCCTTCTGATTAAAATACTTGACAGCTTTCCCATTCTCTTAGTAAAGTTCAAATTCCTTAAATTGGCTTTAAAATATGCTCAGGATTATGTTCTCTTATTATCTGGACTTACTCTTAAAATATTGTTTTAATCTTACGTTCTTTAAACCAATAAATACTCTGATTGTATATACATTAGACTTCTTCACTGATCTTTCATATTTTAGAAACTATTCTTATTTGCCATCTTTTTTTTGGGGGGGTAGGGGGTACCAGGGATTGAACTCAGGGGCATTTAACCACTGAGCCACATCCCCAGCCCTATTTTGTATTTTATTAGAGATTGGGTCTCACTGAGTTGCTCATCATTGCTGAAGCTGGCTTTGAACTGATGATCCTCCTTCCTCAGCCACCCAAGCTGCTGGGATTACAGGATATGCACCCCCCACGCCTGGCTATTTGCCATTTTTTGTATGTCTGTATTTATTTTTGTCTTCCAAATTACCAGTTCTCTCTTCAGATATGTCTTCTATTTAACCTGTCCATTTGTATTGTAATCTCATTTATTATATATATATATTTTTTTACTTCTAACAATCTATTTTATAAATTTTCTGTCATTTTATGATCTCTTGTTCCTGATTCAGATCTTTAATGTGATCTTTTATTGCTTTAAGCATATGTCACTCACTTATTTCATAATTTATGCTGGATAATTCTAGTGGTCTGGGTCTTATGTGAGTCTGTATTTGTAGGGTTCCTTCCAGCTCTTAGTTACATATTATTTCCTTGTGTGATTTTTACTTTTATTATAAGATGTTGGTTATGAAATTTCACATTGAAGTTTTCTTCAGGCCTTAGATGGTTGGCACATTCTAAGAGAATTGACCGTTGCTGGGTCAGTTTAAAATAAATTATTGGTTTAGTTTTTGTTTTGTTTTGACTATGTGGGCAGCATGAGGACTAGTGTGGATATAAACTCTCAGGAGTAATAATTTACCATGCCTGAAGTTGAAAGTCAAAGCAGGAAAGTTTTCTGACTATGTACCCAAATATTTTTAGTTCACCCTTTCACTTAAGAGCCAATCTTTTAGGGTTCTGGCCTTATATGGAGGTCTCCAGTAATAAATATCTCCAACTGCCCACCCTAAGCGTTGCCTCCAGTATTCAAGTGCCCTGTAAACCTAAAATCTAGATTATTTAATTTCCACATCTAGATTAATATTTTTGGTAATTTTTAGCCTTACTTTCTTGCCAACTTAAGGATATACTTAAAACTTTTTAAAATAGTTTATCCATGGTTTTAGAAGTTTTATAGAGGTAAGGGATTTTCAGCTGTTAGGCGTTGAGAAAACATCATTCCAGCTCTTTCTGGTCAAATCCTCCTTAAACTGTATGTTCATCCATACAGAACTACCTCCATTCCTTGAAAGCCCTGGGTTTTCCTTAACTGCCAGAATTTTTCACATGGTGATTCCTCTGCTTTATCATTCCTACTTGTCATTCAGGTTTCAGTTTAAATATCACTTCATATCTATTCTGTGACAAAGTCCTTTTTAAGATTATATTGTAGTTTCTTGTTTACTTATCTCTACCCTCCTCCATTATAAGCTTTCTATGGAAATTTTTATTTACTCAGCAGTACACATAGTAGCCACTCAATATATAAATGAATAAAACTTCATATCCCTGTATATTACAGCCAGTAAATCATTCATTTCCTGTATTAAATTCATTTCCTTAAATACAAAATGTAGCAGCATCCTTCTTTATTATAATTTTTCATTTTGAAACATTTTAAACTCCAAAAATATTTCAAAACTATACAGAGTTTCTGTGTACCTTTCACCCAACATATCATCTTTTATAAATGCAAAATAAACTTACAAGTAAGAACAGAAATCCTCAGAGAGGGAAAAAAAAAACTAGAAGTGAAGTAAAGCAATAAACTAACAACAACTTTCCAGATTTTAATTGAAAGTAAGAATGATAAATATATAAAAGAACAATTAATTGTGTTTGAAAGATACATTTAAGGCAGATATCAAGAAAAAATATATAACTTTTGGAAGTGAAAAATACAGTCATTGTTTTTAAAATTCAATAATAGGATTAAACAGCAGACTTGATGCAGCTGAAGAGAAAATCGGCTATCTGAAATTCAAAGCTGTGAAAATTACTTCCCATCCTGCTTGAGTGTTTCTCAGAGGCATGTGATGGGAGAGAAAAGTTCTTCAAATTTTGAATACAATAAAATCAAGAGATAGAAAATAGGAAGATCAAGTTGAAACAAGAAGGTCAGAATAGGAAACTTTATTAACAACAACTATGGATTCCAGGAGGAGAGGCAAAATTGGGGCAGATGAACATTGAGAATTTTCTGAAATTGTTTAAAATCTAAAATCTTATGTTGAAGAAAAACAATTCAATGTAGATTACAAAAGTGAATAGAATAATGGGAGACGGGAAGTAGCTGAACCATTTTAGATAACATTTAAGCCACCTGTCAATCTTCTGTCATTCTCACAAGAGTGGAAATGACAGAGAACATGTAGTTCCCTCCCTAGAAGCTAAAACAAACTGATCCTTTTGGGTAATAAGTAAATAAGCTGAAGTGTTCTGAGTGGAATAGTTTTCATTGCTTTCCTTGAGTGGCTCAAATTATAACCACTCCAGCTGCCAAAACTTGGATTTGCCTGTAATAGATGAAACCATCAGTTACCCTGCCCAAGGTAATGAGTACTAGATATTGTCCCACACATAGAGAATAATAGTCTCAACTCTGAAGAAATGGGCTTTACCTCTCATTTTGGTATTGCCTAGTGTAGTCTGCAGACCATGGCAAAACTAGTAAGTACAGTTTGAACTGAGAATCTAATGATTGCTTTATTAATTCTTATCCACTAGCCACAGTGGCATTTATTGTGAGTGCATGTATTTTGCCACAAATGTAGAAATGCTGCTGTGTAGATTTTGAACATACCAAAAAAGCTTAGTCTCATATTTGTTTTCCAGAACGTTTGTCAGACGCTGTGGTGCTCAGTAAAAGGCTTTTGTCGCTCTAAACTGGATGCTGCTGCAGATGGGACAAGATGTGGTGAGAAGAAGGTGAAGTGTGAGGCTGAGGAAGGAAAGTGGGAGGGCAGTGGGCCCTGAGTTCTTGAAGAAAGCCAGGGAGAAGGCCCTGGAGAGGGTGAGGCTCTCTCTGGGTGAAGGACAGTGAATGAAGGTCACATAGACCAGCCAGAGGAAAGGGTTCTGTCCCTTCTTTCCCTGATAAACCTCTGGATTTGGACAACAGCATCTGCTGAACCTATTATCAACCATACTTTTGTTTTGACATTTTCCCCCTCCATATGGAAGATTGGAAAGGACAGCCCAGTGGATTTTTCTTTCCAAAAAAAGTCAGATTTTGTCCACTTATAATCTTCTTTCACATTATCTGACATGACTATTTTTTCCTGAAGTTCTGCCCACTTTAGTAGGCAGGAAGGTCATATATCCAGGAACTCAGAAAACATTAGCTATTCTCCAGGCTGCCTGAGAACAGGATAATTCCTGCTGCACAAGTTAACCACTTGGATCTGATATGGGTTTAGGGCTTAGGAGTTTAGCTTTCATGCAGCCTGAGTGTGGCACAACCCATCACTGAGATAAATAGAACCTGGTCAAAATACACAGTGATCAGAAAGAATGAGGAAAAAAGAGTCCAGCATATAGAACATGCCTCCATCCTTCAAAAATATGACCATTTCTAACAACCAAGCTGCACTTCCTTTTGTTTTAATGTATACATGTTCACTCTCCTAAACTGAGAGTTGTGGAAAAATTGTGTTGACGAGGGAGAGAGTAGATATTTTCTGAGTCACTTGAAAGGTTAAAATTGCAAACAATGGCTAGGAAAAAAAAAGCAGCTATTTTCCCCCTTGAGCTAAGAAATTACTTCCTACAACTTGTGTTTTGGAAAATGAAGTGAACTTTTATGCTGGGGAGTGTTCTGCTGCAGGCATAAATACCCACAGAAGCTGTAACAAAGTACTACTCTAATGCCAGCCATGAACTGTTAGGACCTGCACCAGAAAGTAAATCAACAGCTATATCATTAGCATACTAATTGACATGATGCATAGAGGAAGTGATATGTTGGTTTACATTCTAGCATGCACTCGGCCAACCAGGCTTTGAGTAGCACCGCTGCAGTGACTCTGAAAAGGCACCATACAGTTCCCTTCCATTCCTGAAACTGGTTTTGAAAACCAAGACTCTGGGAAAACTCTTTTATAAGTCCTTCTTTGTTTGCTATCTTAAGTGTGACTGCAGAAAGCCTACTTGCTCTGGGAGGATTGGGTGTAGACTTGGGTGTAGACTTCTAGGGTTCTGGGCTTGGCTTGCTAAGATCCTTCCTGACATTTGCATCTCGTCTCTTCCCTTTGCAGTGGTGCATGGCGGGCAAGTGCATCACAGTGGGGAAGAAACCAGAGAGCATCCCTGGAGGCTGGGGCCGCTGGTCACCCTGGTCCCACTGTTCCAGAACCTGTGGGGCTGGAGCCCAGAGTGCAGAAAGGCTCTGCAACAACCCTGAGTAAGCCTGGCCAGATCCACCTCCTTCCCTGCCTTCCACAAGCACTGAGAGGCCAGTGTCGAATGGCAGGACTTCAGTGACCCCAAGCCTCCTTGGGAAATTAAATGGGTTCCCAAAGACAAATGGAGCCTGAAGATTCACAGAGGGTGAAAAAAGAGTGATTCTGTTTTGTTTGGGCTTGGCAGTTGATTCTCAATAACACTTAGATAAGTAAGCTAATTCCATCATTTGGAGAAATAAAGCAAATTTCTTTTCAAGGCACAACCTATGTGGCATACTCTAGGAAATTATGCAATTAAATCCTTCCACATAACTCCACTCTATCAGTAAGAGATTAGTTATGCATAATATTCATGGTAGGATAGTAGCTACTTTCAATCATAATGAATGCACAGTTTTATGAAGATATTATTTTCCCCTTAGGTAACTAATAAAATAGGTAAGCACATTGTAAATTATTTTATGGAAAGATACTATAAACTTTATAGGAGCCTGTTAAGGATTCCATAGAAATTACTTCACCAGCAGTTTTCTTTTTTTTTTTTTTAATTGAATTGCTTGATTTTTCATGTATTTAAACTTCAAGCCTCACTCTCCTTCCTTCTGCTACAGCCTGACACCTCATTGTCACCACGTCTTGTTCCATCTGCAGTGGGGTCCAGTTACCCTACTGGAGGGGAACACGTGATGGATAGATATTGCCCCACACATAAGGATGACAATCTCAGCATTGAGAAATGGGTGTGCCTCTCATTTACTTATTGCCTAAAATGGCCTACAGACCATTGTTTATGAATGAGGACAAAAACTAAGTATGTGTAAGGAACAGATAAGTCACATTAAGAAAAGTGGGGGGGCTGGGGTTGTGGCTCAGTGGTAGAGCGCTCGCCTCGCACATGCAAGGCCCTGGGTTCCATCCTCAGCACCACATAAATATAAATAAATAAAATAAAGTTAAAAAAAAAGAAAAGTGGGGAGAGCAGTATAGAAAATCTCATGAACATTCAAAAGAGCCAAGTACAGCAGAGCCACATAAGAATTATAACCACAGTGAGAACTTGAGAGTCAACCAGACCTCCGCCCCGCAGGCTGCATGGTCAACCTGTACAGGACCATGATAAGAGCATGGGCTATGGATTAAATCAAACAAGGGTCCAAATCCTGACTCTGCCACTACCCTGGACACTTGGGAAGATGTCCTACTTTTATGTGCTTTTATCATGATGTCATCGAACTGCCTTTGTCCTGAGAATATCTTCAGAAACTCTCCTTTCATTAATCCTTTCCAACCAGCCTTAACTTCCATGGCTCTCTCTCTTTCCATGGCTCTCTCTTTCCATGTCTGGCTCTCTCTTCTAAAAACCCCACCATACTCATAGTCAGGGGTACATTGTTGCCACCTTAAATTATCTCACTTCTTTGGTTATTTTTTTCTTAACAAAATTATAAATTTCCAGGAAGTATAGAACATGGCTTGACCCTCTTTCCTGCCCTCTTGTCCCCAAGCATGATGTTGAGCACATGGTAGTATATAAATACTGATAGATTATTATTCACAATAACCGAAAAATGCTATCATTTACTGAGTTCTTACTTTGTGACAAGAGTTGCTTTATTAGAGTAACTTTGTGTGTATTGTCTCATTCAGTCCTTTCAACTCATGAGATATAAAATTTCATGCTCATTTCACAAATTTATTAAAAAAAAAACAGGTTCAGAGATATAAAATAACTTGTTCAGGACCATCTAACTACTAAAGGTAAAGCCAGATTCCAACTCCAGGCTGTTGGCCCTATTTTGCTGCACTATAATAGTAGTCACAATTCCTCATTCAGATGCTGAAACCTGGAGGCAAAAAGGTATATGTGGATCACCTTAGAGTCTTCTGGAAGGATACATGGTTCCTCCAGTTCTTTGGAAGTAATTCCATGATATTCCTCCCTTCTTCTCTTTTGAGTGATCCTAATAGAGAGATTGTCATGCTCAAGTGTATTGAAAAGGAAATTTAAAAATTGAGAATGTATTCTAAAGTAAGAGTAATGAATTCATTTATTGAATGCTTATTAAAAACTCAACTATGCTCAAGGTACTGTTTAGATACCTTACAGTACATAGAACTGAGGTTTAGTAATTTTAAAAAAATTATCTTTAGGTACAAGTTAAGGAAGTGCATACAGTTGGTACATGAAGTGTCACTAAAGAGAGGAGACAGAAATTAACTTCTGGTTGGAATTCAGGAAGGATTTATGATGGAGGTGACCTTTAATTTGTCCCTAAAAAAATGGAAAGGATGTCGACATGGAAAGACTTAAGATAAAGGAATTCTATCCAGAGGCACAGGAAAAAAAATAATAAATAAGACAGCTTGTACCATTGGAGCAGTGTAGGAAATAAAGTTGTTAAATAGAGTTGAGACAGGTTCATAAGGGCCTGGATAATCAAGCTCAAAAGATTGTAATTGATTCTGAGGCTATAAGGTCCACTGAATGCTTTTTAAACAGGAAGCTAGGATAATTAAGGTGACCTAAAAGTGTCTTCAGATAATAGTGTATAACATGGATTGAATGAGGAGAAAGTGAGGAAAGGGAGACATAAATGGAGGTAAGAGTCCAGCTGGTTTGGTAACTGGGATTCAGGAAGAGGTAGCAAATATAAATACAATTGATTCCCAAACAATTGATTGACTATTGTCCTAGGAAGGCAACAGTTGAAAGATTCTGAATACTCTGACCACTGTTAACTTTCTAAATAGGAAATAGAGAAGGATCAGATTTTGGAAAAAAAAAATGATGTATCCTTTTGCAGCATATATTTTCCCTTGGGGGTATACAGTTGAAAAAGTATTGCAAAGTAGGCAACTATACACATAGCACTAAAATGCTGTGTATATAGCATAGAATGCAACACACACACAAACACAACTTGGAAGGGTTTTAAAAGGTGAGTTTTTAGGGCACAAAGAGAAATCGTTTGGCCAGGAACAAGTATGGTCAGATGGCAGGGAATTTTTTTTTAAAGGATAATATTGGCCTTTTGGGAAACTAAAAGAACAGCTGTCTGTTTCACTTGTAGACCAAAGTTTGGAGGTAAATACTGCACTGGAGAAAGAAAGCGATATCGCTTGTGCAACGTCCACCCCTGTCGCCCAGATGCACCAACATTTCGGCAGATGCAATGCAGTGAATTTGACACCGTTCCCTACAAGAATGAATTCTACCACTGGTTTCCAGTTTTTAATTCAGGTAAGAAACTGTAACAGTATATCTCAAATCTTAGGCCACATTTTTATTTCACATTTTCTCTAAGTTGAACAAAGAGATATGTACCATCAGGAGTTTTGTGTTTTGGAAGAAACACTGACCTGGTGAAATTGATCAGTAAATGTTAAAGGCTCAGTATATGTCCAATTCTGCTCTGTGGGAGATGAATAAGACATTTGTCAAACACAGTGACTCACTTCAAAACAGCTGAGGTGCATCGGAGCACCTACATGGGGCACGTGGGCATTCAGCTACTAATTGCTTATTGATGGGCATGTGAAACTGAGTGTAGTTTCAGCAGAAATTCAGAACACAAGGTCATTGTGGGTTTGGAGTATTTCAAAGAAGGCTCCCAAGGAAATAGTCGATGATTCTTAGCATGAGTAATTTTTCTACTGAAAAAATAAAAAGGGAAGGCATTCAAAATAGAGTCATTCGAAATGGGAAGAGACTAGCACAAAGAAAGGCAAGATAACAGGAATGGCTTCATTAGAAATGAGAGAGACCCAGCCTTGGGCCAGAAACCAATGCTTCATAGGCACAGAGCAGTTATGAGAAGGGTCAAAAGCAAAATCAAATGTCTAAAGGATGCACATCAGGAAATGGGGAGAATCAAGTTGGAGAACACAACAGCAGCTTTGGCAAAACTTCCAGTGAGAACCATTGCCCATTCTTTCCTGAAAATGAACCAGGATTAATGATGATTAGCTATAGATTTACATCAGAAGGCATTTTATCAGTGCTCTTTGTTGTGATTTGAGTGGGAAACAAAAAGGCTTTCCGAGGCTAAGGAGATTCCAGGCAAAGTGGTTAAAATTAACTACTTAAATTTTTCATGACTTTTAACTCCTGAAAGTCTTGTGATAAGACATAAGAAGAATCATAGATTGGAGAATAACATCTTTGGCCTGTTAACACAACAATGTTGTCAGTAACTTTAGGAAGACTCTGTGGCGCTTTGCCCATGATGAGTCACCCAAATACCCTGATGGCTAGTTGTTGTCAAGGGCAAAAGCTACTCCTTATCCCTAACTGTTTAGCATCATTCATGTTCTGTGGCCGTCAGCATTCGGTTATTGGTAGAGTTGAACTTCCTTGTCTAGGCATCTGAATACAGGAAACTCATTTGTGTATTCATGTGGATTTCATGCTAATGATGAAAGGTGCATTCAGTTGGTATTATCTATGCCTGTATCTTACACATTCTCTATTTTGTTGAATCAAAGCAGAGCATTTGGATTAGTGGTTTTAGGGACCCTGAATAAGTAGCCTTCCATGACTAAAATAGATAACCTCCCCCGTGGTATAACAGGTCCTTATTCTTGGTCTTTTCCTACCACAGATATAAGGTTGAACTTGCGTGATCTTAACTGATGGTTCAAGTATAACTGGACTTAGAATGAAAAAAATTCATTCAGCTTTGCTTTTCATTTATTTACAAGTTTTGTTATGTGCCTACCTTTTAGTCTAGTGTAGCTGTCAATACTAAGCAATGATAGGCATAAGGGTAAACATCTGCTTCATTCATTTTGGAATGATTGATTGATTGATTGGTTTAATTTGCTCCCTACTGAGTTCACTGTCTCTCCAGGGTATAAACAGCCATCCTCTATCCTGGTGATTTCTGTACAGCTCCTGTGCTATTGTCAGGTGCGGTGACTTACCTACTAACAAAGAGTACCTACCACCTTGACCAACACACATGAAATGCATCAAAACTCTTCCTTAACTAAACAAATATTTTTATACACTTTAGTAAGTTTGATTTTTTGCTTCTAATGACCATTTCTTAATTTTAAAATATTGAACTATCTTGTTTCAGCAGAATTGAAAATGAAACCTTTGATTAAGTTCATGCAGTTACCTGAGCTTCCTTTGAAAAGATTAATTACAGGATGAGGGTGAGAGTTTACCAGTAAATTGATTTTAGTGCTTTCACTTTACCTAATTATAAATGGACGTGAAAGCTCTTGAAAACCAGAGGGACACACACACACACAAAAAAAAAAAAAAAAAAAAAAAAACTCATGGCTCAGACAAAAGGATGTCAGGTAAACAATATGAGGACAATGAAAATAATCAAAGCTATAGAAATGCTTGATTCTATGAGGTTGACTTTTGAGACACAATCTCTGATGCTCATGATGATCACTGAGAATCTGAGAATTAAATGCCACCCTTACCTCCTTTTGCAGAACCCTGCGTCACAGGCCAATGTAACAATATCTGCAGTTTCCTCAGAACACCATGAAAGAAAGAGGCCAGAGGAGGGGTTGGCGTAGCAGGACAGGCAACCTTACAAAATGTTTAAGTAGCCCTGAACCTTCAATTTGCAATGCCTTATTTAAGCATAAGGTTCTCTCTGGCCTTAGGCACAGCTGTGCTCTGAGGCAGTAAGCTGTGGATTATTACCAGATAGTTCAAGGATTCCTTAGGTTGCTGCACTTATATGAGACTGACATTTTTGTTTCTTATGTGCAGCATGCTTTTTTCAACCTGGTTAGCCTTGAAGGAGGTACTAGTCCCATACTTGAGAAACAGAGTGGGACTCTCTTTATGAAAAAGTGTCATCATTATCACATAAAGGAGACTATTTAGTTTTCTTGTTTGAGAGCTACAGCATTGTGCTTAAAATGAATATATGTGTCTTATAAAAATGCAAGCATACATAATAGAATAAAATAAAAGTGAATTCTTACTGTCCCACCATACTTCATCTATTCTTCAGAGGTTAGTGTTGTTAATGACAGGTTTTTTGCACAAGAATAAAATCTTCTTTGCTGATTCTGCATCTTTCTTGCCTCTCTGAGCAAGATCCTGGCACTGGGTTTGTCTCACTGCCTTCAGGGCCCACAGAGAATTCTATTAATTTATTTGTCCACTTGTGTCCAGATAAGCATTTCATTGTCACCATGAATGTCCTTGACCTCTATCACTAAGGTTAATGCTCATTTTTTGACTGCCTGAGTTGATAATCTCTCAATATTTAAAAATCCCTTTGCTGCTTGATCCAGAATTTTCTCCCTATCAGTGTTGATCATTGTCATATCAGTTAATTCATAAAGATGAACTAAGAGCCTCTTCTAAGAGTAATGTTCTGCTAGTAATCACTGAGAGAGGTGAATGGTAACAGCCACACACTTTCCAACAGTCCCTTGCACAGTTTAGAGACTTGGGAGTCTTGGGCAAGGTTTAATAGTCAAGGATGGATTTGTATTTCTCTGTATCTAACTCCAACACTCTGAGGAAAATTTCTGTGCTTTTTCCTGCCTCTACTGAGCTTTTGAGTCCTCACCATTCTGTTATGACTCTTCCTTCTCAGACTGTGCTGTTTGGTAGTAGCTAATCAATGCTCAAATGACTTGAGTGTCCTTGAGGACATTACAGTATGATTGAGGAGTTTGTAAAATTGAAGTCTTGGAATTGTAGACCTGAGAGGACTGCAGTAGATATTGTACAACTGGAACACCTTTGAATGAGATCTATAGTCACAGTAAAAGAAAGTTATGGAACCATCTACTATCAGAGCAAGACCTCGTATTCTTTATGATAAACTGACACAATACCAGTTAGTTAGAAGACAGTAAAACAAAGTATGAATTTAATGCTGAATTAATTAATAATGACATAATGGAATAATCTGAAGGGAAAGAGAGTATTTCGGGAAGTTCTTTTGTTTCTGTTTTGGCTGGAGTAACAATTAAGCCAGGGTTACAAGTCTGTTGACTATTTGGGAAGATTGGAAAGACAGAGGCACAGAATGCCAAGGCTACCTTTAGAATTCCTCCAGTTAATGATGCACAAGTAAAACCAAAGCTGCCATTTATTGATCACTTACTCTATATAGCATAATGCTGAGTGCTTGACATATAATATCTGTCTCATTTCTCACAATTTACCTCCAAGGCAGATATTATTACTTGTTTTTTTTAGATGAGGAAACTGAGTCATAGAAAGATAAAGTCACTTCTTCAAGGGATAGTCATGAACTAAAATGTTTAAATCTGTTTCTGTAGAAGTGAATACTTCAGCATCTAGTATTTTCCCCCATGAGAAAATATACTCTGAATTGAAGCAGAGCTATCCAGTTAGTGTGCTACCCAGTTTCCTTTTGTATTGGTGTTGTAATTCAGCATTGCCTAATGTGGTGGAAAGTGGTCAGTTTAATGATCTCATCAAAGACATTTTTCTGTTGTTAAAGAAAATGTTGTGTCTGTACACTAGGGGTTTGTAGTGTGGGATCTGAAACAAAGCACCATGGTGGTTTAATCTGCCACTCATACTGGGAGAGCTTGGTAAGATTTTAGTATCTATGGCTAAACTTTCTCACCTATGAAATAGGTAATAAAATAACTAACTGCATAGGACAGTTGTGATTCTTAAAATAAGATAATCACTGTCGAGCAAAACAAAACCTGGGAAACAATGTTCAAATAATATATTGGCTATTATTTTACCAAGCCAAATTCCTTTGAATTCACTGTATTAACAAGACTAGCTGAAGTCTCTGGATAGTTTTATACTTTGGGGAGTGGGTCAAACAGTACAAATTCACGAAACTGAGACAAACATGGGAACTTCATCATTCCGGAATTCGATGCAGTACCTGGCGTGGACGGAAGATCCAATTATAATCACAAGTGCCTTCTTAAATTTTGTATAAGTGCCCCCTCATCCTGGCCCTTCCCAGCAGTTTTGAAATGGATAAATTTTTAAAGAAAAGCTCCAGAATTATCCAGGCTGCTTTCCTAAATCTGAATTCTGAAGCTTATATCAAAGTCTTAATGAAATAATTCCTTGGATTCAACACTTGATGGATGGTCTCATTGCTGGAAGAAGAATTGCTCCCTGGTGACTCCATGTAGGTGTTTAGTTTTAGCAGTGACAAGGTTATCACACTACCATGAAAGAAGTGCTCCAATTTATCCTCAGAGTCTTTTGGCCCTTTGCCCTGGCACTTTGTCCAGTGGTCTCTTCAACACATTTTGACTTCACCCCACCTTCTCAGACAACCAATTCACTGCACATTATATAAAATTGGTTGGCATTCATTATTTGTTTTGTGCTTTAACACATGTTAACCTCAAGTTCATCCAGAGTCTCGGTGTTCAGAGCATTTGCTCTTAGTTATGTTTGTATGATTTTTGCAGTTTTATTTCCTGGAGAAAGGATGCCAGACTACAAGGCTAACCTAATCTTTCTCTCACTTTAGCACGTCCTTGTGAGCTCTACTGCCGACCCATAGATGGCCAGTTTTCTGAGAGAATGCTGGATGCTGTCATTGATGGTACCCCTTGCTTTGAAGGTGGCAACAGCAGAAATGTCTGTATTAATGGCATATGTAAGGTATTGGGTATGTTTCCTTAATCTACAACTTTATAAAATCATGATCTTTCAAATTCAGAAAGTTACACATTCTAAGCTTACATTTTTGTGGCACTTGCATGTGGTCTGGTTTTTATAAATGTGAGACACAAGAAGACAGACTTCCTGGTGTTCATTACTGTTGAGCTTTTTTGTTTTTGTTTTTGTATCAGGGCACTCGAACACTGAGCCACATCCCGGTCTTATTTTGTACTTTTTAAAATTTAGAGACAGGGTCTCACTGAGCTGCTTAGTGCCTCACTTTTGCTGAGGCTGGATTTGAACTTGCAATCCTCCTGTCTTAGCCTCCTGAACTATTGGGATTACAGGCATGCGCCACCAAACCCAGCTATAGTCAAGATTCGACCTGAGAAGTTTTCCCTTCTGCTATGCCTTTTATTTCTTGATTTGTTGATCTTCACTGTGGTACTATTTTAAGTTTTGAGTAGAGCCAAGTGGAAGAACCAAATTAAAAGAGGAATTATTAAGAAAAGGCAGCATGGATTATTTCAGGAGCATTAAATTTGAGGGAAAAAATGAAATTATTAATCATTTGTGTAGTGCTTTTCATACAGCATATTAACATTTAATTCTCCATTTATTGTCAACATGAATTTCTTGGAGAGATCATATAATGTGTAGTTGTAATCCAGGCTTTTGATTCTATGTAATTTTTTCCACACCCACACCATAAATCAACTCCATCTTTTTATAAATTCTTTAGACCTGGTTTGTTAATGCTTTTGAGTATAAAACCATTAAAGGATTCTTTGTCATTGCTTGCAATTTGTTTTGGCTACAAGGAATAAAGCAACAAATCTTGTGATCCAATACCCAAACATGAATCTCAGTTTAAAGAGAAGTTGTCTTTTAATTCATCAAAAGAACAGTAATCTAATTAACTGTTAAATAAACCATAATGGTTTAGCACTGGAGTACTAGACTAGGAACTCAATACCATCATTTTATCAGTTGTGCAACCCTGTACATCTTTCTAAAACTCAGTTTTCTGTGATAAAATTGGGCTATTAATGTAACTACTTTACAGGAATTGTCAAAAAGGGTAAATAACAGATGACCTAGCATATAATAAACTCAGTACATTTTGTTTTTGCAAAAATTTATCATAATTTTTTTTCCACTGGAGAAAATGGACCCTGTGAAAACCTCTTACCCCAAAATCTCCATCACCCTGGGAATAAGCATTTATCTCCTTGAAGGTGCTTTTTCGTTCACTAGCATGGTGACCAAAACCCAAGAGGCAAGAGGATAAAGCCTGGGAACAGGCATGGGAGAGCTGAGAGCAAGCCATAAGCAGACTCCAGATTTGAAAAGCTCAGGTGAAATTTTCTTTTAAACCAACTAATACCATTGTAGCTACTAAGAGCCCAAATTAATGTATTTGAATTAGGTCTATTTCAGAGAGTGAGAGAAGAGGATTATCAGATAATTTAACCACAAGTTGCCCCACCCTGTCTAAAGCAGTGGCTCTCGATTCTGGTTATATCTTAGAATCACCTGGGAAGCTTTTAAAAATTATTAATTTCTAAGCTCCATGTCAAAGTTATTAATTCAAAATTTCTGGGACTTGGGGTCCAGACATAGATATTTTAAAATGTCCCCAAGTGAGTAGCATATCCAGCTACGGATGAAAACTATAGATACTGAGAAATTAAAGTGATGCTAAAATTATCTTTTAGATCTAAGTAATTTTGCATGTATAGAGACAGCATTTTTAGCTTGCATTAGAAAACAATGCTTTGAACAAAATATATGGTGGGGTTAAAATAAATTGGAGAGAGGAGGATAGCTAGTTACTTCCAGAACAGATTCAGTTCTAATTAGGTCTTGGTAAATTTCCTTTATAGTAGAATCTGAAAATCTGACATGCCAACATGTTGGCATGTACCATAATTTCAACATAGACAGTGGAATACATTAATTATGCAACCACATTAATCCTTAATCTCTATTAAAATCAATTAAGTGAATTTAATAAACAAAGGCAGATTCTTTCAGTTTGCCTTCTTTTTACTTGGAGCCAGTTAAAGCATTATATAAGCTAAAACTGCCCACTTTCTGTCTGTATTACACAGAGTTAAGTGTTTAAATCCCCAAAATGATGTCAAATCAAATATACTTAATCATATAGATATAGTTTATCTTCCCAATATCCAGGTTGTAGGTATTTTCAGCCTTGTTAGTCTCTTTGTTCATTTATTTCAGGGTTTTTTTTTTTCCTTGAGAGGAATTGAACATATATTGAAATTTTTAAAAAAAGATATGTTTTCAGAAAAAAATGTATGCAATGTTTAATCCATCTTCTTCATTAATATGAAAAAGTATTTGCATATATTAATGTATTCAACTGTCTATGTTGAAATTATGGTATTTGCCAACATGTTGGCATATCAGATTTTCAGATTCTACTATAAAGTTAATTTACCAAGACCTGAATAGAACTGAATCTGTTCTGGAAGTAACTAACTGTCCTCCTCCTACTCCAATTTATTTTTAACATGCCCCCAACTCCAAAGTTTGCTTATCAGAGACACAAATTTACACTGTGATTTTTCAGAATATCTACTGTGATGATCACAAGTATTACATGGAATAAACTTTTAAAAATGTGAGCAGATGCTCCCTCTCTCCCCCTCTCTCAGCTCTGAATCTCACTGCACTACCTACTCTCTCAAGCCCCATGCTCCTCTTCCAGCTCTTTGACTTCAGCTTCTTTTCTCCCAGTCAGCTTATCCTGGCCTTCATTTCCCTGTGAACAGCCCAGATGTCCTGGTCTGTCAAATCATCTGCTTTCTAGACTTCTCTTATCCTTCCACCAACCTCCTACCCTATGCCCCGGGTTCTGGATCCACTCAGCCACACCCTTGTTAAATCTTATCATCAGCCTGCTGTGCACAGCAGGTCATTTGTGATACACTGAACACCTCAAATGCCAAATCCAATCTCTTGCCCCTCAAAGTCCAAGAGTTACTTCAGTCTTAACATTCCTAAATGAAATTTATAGATCATTCCTCATTCCCACTGCAATCTGCTCTCCTTTTCTCCTTTTCAGATTTGTGTGTGTGTGTGTGTGTGTGTGTGTGTGTGTAGTATTGAGGTTTGAACCCAGGGCCTTGTTCATGCTAAGCAAGTGGTCTACCACTGAACTACACCTCCAGCTCTCCTCTCAGACTTTGGCCTAAATACCTTCTGAGACATAATTGTAATTATTACAACTCTGCTTGAAATCCACAGGCAGTTATCAAGAGCCTCCTACACGAAGTCTAAGCTCCTAAACATGATAATCATGGCTCGTGATTAACTACTCCTTTCATGAGCCATGAATGAATGAATGAATAAAATCTTTAGCTTAGGACTGGTGAAGGCAAGAACTCAAATTAGAAGCTTAGTCTCTCAGGCCAATTCCACTAGTCTTTCTGTATGCCATGGCTTCTTCGGGACACCTCATAAACAGATCACCTGTGAGAAATCCATACAGAATGCACCTGCCTCCTTGCCCCCAAACAGCACCTCAATTTGTGTTTGAATTAGCTAAGAGCCAAAAGTTACAGACACAAAAGTAAAAGGTCTTTGTCCTCCCTGGAAGGAAACAAACAAACCACTGCAACCATAAGATGAAATCTAGCATCCAAGGAGCCTGACCTCAAATTCAGTCCCTAGGGACACAGAGATCAGACTGGCCATCCAGGAGTAAATGGTGACAGTTTGGTTGGAGACTCTGGCAAGGAGCCAAGCAGATGGGCTGCAGGCCTTCAGCCAGTGTTCTCAAGTCAGGTGCCGTAAGCATGCCCCGTCCACCAGCATGGGTCAGGGAAGGTCCCCGGTGGAGGCGACTTCTGAGAGTGGACTTTAAGATTCCATATAAACTGACTAACAGAAGATGGTGGATGTCCACTTAAAGACATCCAGTGTGAGAGGTGCAGAAGGGTTGGGTTAGGTCAGTGTGTCTGGGAGCAGCCATGGATGCCATGGGGGACTGGGATGCCACACTAAGGAGTTCAGGTGCTACCTTCATGGAAATGGAGTTCATCAGAGCTAAGCAGACAACATGGTGTTTTGAATGACTTTGGGGAAACCACTGTGCTTCTCTAAATGAGTTCCCCCATCTTAAGTGGGAAAAATAACATGGTGCTAGTTCCCTGGGACTGCCATAGCAAATTACCACAAATAGAGGGACATAAAAGAAATGTTTTGTCTCCCCCAGTCTGGAAGCTGGAAGTCTGAAATCAAGTTGTCAACAGGGCTCTTCTTCCCTCTGAAGGCTTTAGGGAAGCATCCTTCCTCAAATCTTTCTAGCTTCTGGAGGTTTCTGACAATCTTTGTCATTCCGACTTGTAGTTACCTCACTCCAGTTTATACCTTTCTTCATCTTTACAATAGCCATATTCCCTCTGTTTGTCTCTGTCTCTAAATCTCTTCCTTTAAAGGACACCAGTTATTTGATTTAGAGTCACCCTAATCAAGTATGACTTCCTAGTGACAATCAATTAGTACCCTGATTTGATGATATCTGCAAAGATCCTGTCTCCAAATAAGATCACATTCACAGGTACTAAGGACTTTGAAATATCTTTTTGGAGGACACAGTTTAATCTAGGACAAGTACCAACTTTGAAAAAATGTGGTGAGGAAAGCCTTATGCTACTGTTCCATTCACTAAATGGCAGTTACCTGTTTTTTCCAACTAAGCATAGTTCTGACCTGTTTTCACACTTTAAAGTTTCATTGGCTGGGAATAAATCTCACCATAGAACTAGGAATCCTTCCAGTGTCTATCTTTGCTGAGGAACTTAGAAAGAAAGGGTGACATTCCAGGTGGATTAGTTCATGGGGCTAGTTGCTATTTCAGTTCAATCCCTTGAGAATTGCAAAACAAAACAATGTTGACTCTTAAGCAGAGAGAGAGAATTCAAAGAAATTGATATAACTTATCCACTCCCCATTGTGGGGCTGTCCAATCCCCAGAGTCATATCAGAGAAGAGCTAAGCTGAAGTCATTATTCACATTTGGCAGCAGCAGCAGCAGGCCACCCCTAACTCCACAGAAGACAGAAAGACCATTCAGTTGTGGCCTTATTGCCAGTGCATGCTCTAAAAGAGGAGAGTGAAGTCTAGTTCTTTGCTCCTGAGATTTCCTAATGTTTGAAGTGGTTTCCACCTTCACAGACCTTCCGTTATATACTTAATTCGCTTTTGGTTGCACTAGGCACAGCTGACTGGGAAAACAAATTTGGGTGAGATTTCCACTAGAATCCATTCAATAAGCAGTTGGCATAGCATGTTGAGGACATGTGCATGGTTCCTTCCCCCAACCCTTGCCTCCCAAATGTGCAGGATAATATTGCTGGAGGAACTTAGGGAGAAAGACATGGTTAAGTGCAGTAGATAGAGAAAGGAAGAGGGATGAGAAAAGAAAGACAGTGGAATGAGCCAGACATGACTTTCCTATGCACATATGTAAATACACAACAGTGAATCTCACCATTGTGTACATCCACAAGAAATTAATTTTAAAAAATAACTAAGGGCAAATGGCAGAAAGATCAATAGAGGGAAGAGGAAGGAGAGGTCTTGGGGTCTTAGAACAAGATATACTCCATGTTTGTATAATCATGTCAAAATGGATTCTACTGTCATGTGTAACTAAAAAGAATCAATAAAAGAAAAAGAGAGAGAGAAAAGAAAGATGTGGATTCTATGGGATGTTCTTTTTTTTTTTTTGTCTTTTTGCATGCCTGCCTTTATTCTTTATGTTTTAATCTATTCTTCCTTGGTAGATTAAAGAAAACACTTTAAAATTAATATATCTCAGTTTCCCTGACTCACTCCAAGTCAGGGAAGGTATTAAAGACATTGGGAATATGATTTGTAAAGGTCAGCTTATTAGAGTATGCTCAAACTTGACATCAACTTATCACTGGTGAAGGGTTGGCATTTTACTTCTAACCACTCCAGGCATGTGTCTGGAATTTTTTTTTCCTTTTCATTTAATTAGCATAATTAAGTTTTGATATTTAAAAAAAAAATCTTAGGACTTTATTTTCTTCCCTGATTGGGTCAAACAGCACAATCTTTGTGCCTACAGGAAATTAGAGATAGTTAACCTCAGGAATTGAGCTATTTTCTGTCAGTGGGCATTAATTCTGTCTAGCTGATAGAGAGTATGAAGTCTCCGACTAATCTCCCTTTCAGAAGATTGAGGTGACTTTAAAATCAGAAAAAAAAAAGATTCTTGAGAAGAAAAAGAACCTACTGGGGCACAATTCTCCTTTCCAAACAGGAAAGAAAATTATGTATCAAGGGATACGGTGCAGCTTTCCCCATGCAGCTGTGGAAGAAAGCAGGCAGCAGAGAAGTTCAATTGATGCTCCCATGTGCTTCATGACTTTCTGTCTAAGTGTCATGATTATTTGCAACCTGATGCTTCAGGACACCCCAGGTTTCATTACTCCCCTTCTGTAGGCAGGGCTTTTCAAAATGAAAAAGACTCAACCCTGGTGACAGACAAAAGGGAAAGATGATGGTTCAGGAGAACTGCTAGGCAGAACACTGAGAATGGATTGTGTCCACAGCATAGAAACAAAATTCATCTTGGTCCAGGAAGAACTGGTTGTTCCTCCTCTGCAGCTGGAGGGAGGGAGGTCAGGATGGCTGGCTGTGGCCAAGTTTAAAGTGCACTGGAGCTGGGGTCATGGGAAGCTCCAGAGGGTCTAATGATGAGTCTAAGATTTCCTCCCTCCTGGGACTGGCATCTTCTCATCATTAAGCCTCATTCCTCCTGATGATGGCTGATTAACCCACTGTCCTTAAAGAACCAAGTTGCAGATGGAGTCGTTACATCACTTCTGGGAAATCTTGGTGGAGAGGAGGGATTATAAGGTTTGCATTTGTGAAGACTTGCTGCTCCACCGACTCCAATTCCAAGACGTTTTTGTAGTTAGGTTTTCGGAACTGTGTTCAGTTCTACCTTTGACCCAGGAAAAATTAGAGATCTCACTCAGTGTGTGCCTCTCTCTCTTCTAAACAAGGATGGTCACCTTCTGTATCCACAGGTTCCATATTCATGGAATCGACCCACCTCAGATGGAGAATTTTTGGAAAAAAAGACTGTGGCTGTACTGATCATACAGACTTTTTTCTTGTTATTATTCCCTAAACAATACAGTATCATAATTGTTTATATAGCATTTACATTGGTATTAGATATTGTGAGTAACCTAGAGATGATTTGAAGTACATGGATATGCATAGGCTTATGCAAATGCTATACTTTTTATATAAAGGACTTAAGCATCTGCAAATTTTGGTATCTGCTGTCGGTATGGAGGGATGACTGTCCTTCCTTAACCATTGGCTTTATCACTGGTAAATGATTTGGTTCCTCCTCTGACCTCCGTCAGGAGAAGAAAACAAGCATTTGTCTTTGTACTCTTGCAAAGCTACACAGGCTTATGAAGAACCAAAGGGGAAACGAAGTCAAAGGTCTGGGCAGCTCTGTGTCTCCTGCCAGTGTTATTCATCCTGACTTCTCTTCCTTCAGATGGTTGGCTGTGACTACGAGATCGATTCCAATGCCACGGAGGATCGCTGTGGTGTTTGTCTGGGAGACGGCTCTGCCTGCCAGACTGTAAGGAAGATGTTCAAGCAGAAAGAAGGATCTGGTAATAAACAAATAAATAATTGAAGTGGCAGGAGACTTGGAACAGAGCCCACAAAAATAATTGACAGATTCCTAGGTTTTGTATATTAAAAAAAATAGCTTATAATTTTCAAAAGAATTTGAAACAGACTCTAGCCTTCAGTACAAAGGAGAAAGAGCTCCTGGGCAGTTTTAAGAGGGGTGGTTGATTGCTAAGAAAATACAGAAGGCATCACAGAGACATAGAAGAGAGAGAGAGAGAGAGAGAGAGAGAGAGAGAGAGAGAGAGAGAGAGAGAGAGAGAGAAGGGCTTGCTGGCGGATCATGGGAACAGACATGAAAGTGTGATCTCTGGAAACAGGCATCACAAGAGGATCAGGGCTGAAGGTCAATGGCATCAAACAGACCAAGAACTAGGGGAGAAAAGAAACCAAAACTGGTCAAGAAGAAAGCAGACACAGGCAGGTTCTGCCTGGGACAGCAGCAGAGAAGCCAGCAACAGGTCCAAAGGCAGAAGAATTGAGATACCTTTAAGGCCCGAAGGAGAAGCAAAGTAGGGTTGCTTCAGCTCTCCCTCATACTCAATTGCTCCTTGTAAGTGGGTAAAGGGGATCCACTCTGTGTTCCCTATGGCTCTCAGAGCAACTCTTCTAACTCTTCTCCCCCACCCTTTCTTTTCACTTTTTTTTAAAACCCTTATTTCATTATTCTTTCCCTGTAACTATCATTTACAAGATTTCTTCTTTTACCAGCTTTTGACTTCTGATAATCCACCCTCACCCCAAATCAGCTATGTCCCTGTGTAGGTTTGCTTTCAGTGAAAATAGTTCTCATGTCCTTTGGCCCCATCAATGAACCCCAGCTTGGGTGTGGGTTTCTTGGGAGAAGGAAATAGGTTAGACTTGGAGACAACTCAGGGTTTCTTATTTGAGCTTCCCCAGATGTACCCTGAGACAAGAATTCAGGACAAATAATTACTTGGGAAATAGGATGTCCTGGGAAATACCAGTAAGGAGTTGAGAAGTGAAAGAGGGAAAGCTGAGAAAGGATGTATCATTGAGCTGTTGCCATTGTGTCAGAAGCCGGTGTAGAACTTGCACATCTTGAGTTTTCCCATCAGAAGGGTAAATTTGCTACCCACAGGGATTCTGATGGTTCTTGGCACCCGGGGAATGGTGTCAGCCTTCAACTGTTTATGCCTCAATGTGTTCCTCAAATCTCCCACCTGTCATGGTCCAGGCTGCCTGAGGTGGGGATTAGGTTATTAAATCTCTGGATTTTGTGGAGATGTCAATGTTGGAAATAGAGAGTCCAGCAAGCTCCACAGCAGGCGGGCCTGAGGGAGAGAGGCAGTCTGCTACCTAGAGACGATGCCATGAACTTACCAAGTAGGATCCCAAGAGTATCCAGTGTGTTCTTTATTTGATGATGTGGCATCTTGCTCCCTAGTAAACATAAATTTGTTTAAATTCTATTCCTGTATCTTAATTGTTGACTACTGAACTACTAAGTTTAAATTTTTAAATGTAATTCAGATCCTTCTCTTTTAGAATTAGCACTGAAAGATTTTATTTCCTGTTTTTGATTGATAGCTTTATTTTGGATGAGAGGTATCCTTCAGATTACTTGCTAGGGATGTAAATTTAATAATATGTTTATGTGAATTTAATAACTTAATATGTTTTAAGCTCATGATTAAGCACCCTATGATGGCTAACATCTTTTGATCTTTGCGAAGGTGTTTTATACAAGTTTTCCATTATTTAGATGTGGCCTTATTTCCTTAAATTATAAATTTAAAAACTCACTTCAAAAACATATTTCTGAGCCAGGCGTGGTGGCACACACCCATAATCCCAGCGGCTCAGGAAACTGAGGGTGGAGGATCACAAGTTCAAAGCCAGCTCAGCAATGGTGAGGCATTAGGCAATTCAGCGAGACCCTGTTTCTAAATAAAATACAAAATAGGGCTGGGAATGTGGCTCAGTGGTCAAGTGCCCCTGAGTTCAATCCCCGTTGCCAAAAAAAAAAAAAAACAACAAACAAACAACAACAAAAAAAAACCATATTTCTGCATTTAACCTCATTTTTATTTATCCATAGAGATTCTTTCTTGGGCCTCTGATATGCTGTGCTCCTAACATTATGGTAACTCCTTTGAAAACCAGAGTTGTCATCCCTGAATATTTTCTATTTAACCTTTGAGTCACTTAGAAAATTGAGGTGTTTTTTTCCCCTCTTTCCTAGTCCCTTGGGGAAGAGAAAAAGAGACAAGTAACATCTTGCTGTCCCACCCTGCACTCATTTGGAAGTCTCAGAGCCTCTGGCCACAGCCCCACTGCTGAGTATTTGACTTCTCTGTGCCCCTTCATGCTTTCCGTTCTCCTTTACCCATTTGCTACCCACAGGGATTCTGATGGTTCTTGGCACCCAGGGAATGGTGTCAGCCTTCAACTGTTTATGCCTCAATGTGTTCCTCAAATCTCTCTGACCCTGCCACCCCAGCACACTGTGGAAATTGAATTTTTATTCTGGACTCTGCAGCATCCACTAAGGAAGTCTTGACTCCATAGACCCACAGGACATTTGCGAGATCCTACCTTTGCTCTATGCTTAGTGAGGCTATATCACCATAAAATCCTGGCTATCCCCAGCCCACTATTTAAATGACACAAAAAGTGAGGTAAAATTTTGGGAAATGCAACTAGATTGCATTGGAATAGTTAATTAATGTGAAGTCCAAAGTAAAAAAAAAAGGGGGGGGGACTTAGTTCCCCTCTTTGAAGACATCCTGTATATATTCCGTCTTTTTGTTTACATGCTGTCTTGTATTGCTGCCTTATTTCACCTTATGTTTAATTTTCTCTCTAATGCCATTAACTGAGAGCAGAATTGTCATTTAGTCTTTGCATTACCCTTCTCAATTCCAAACTACTTGTCTGAATCTACAGTAAGTATTCAATAAGTACTCATATAAATGTGTTTAAAAAGTTTCTCTTAAGACTGATTTCATATTCCTTTGGTAATAAAGGAGAAAAAAATCATTAACTATTCTACAGTTATGCTAAGGGAATATCCGAGAAAGAACTTTTCCTCTTTGATGTCCTGCCTACAGTTTGGCTCTGGTGTTGTTACTCCTTGGAAACACAAGCCAGCCTTTTGGGTCAGGGTCCCTTCCCTACTGTGGCCCAAAGCCATAAATTGGTATCATTGCTCCTGTAATGCATGTCTGAAAATATTCTGTTGTCATCTCTCCTCTCCCAACTGTGGTTTCTGTGGTGGGTGGCAGTGGATTATTTCAGGAACTTGATGTTTTAACTCTTATCTCCCTGGTCAAAAGAACATGGCCTTTGCTCTCAGGTATCTGTGACTTGCGGTGGATTATTTCCAGAACAAGTATGATTTTGCAGCCAGTCACACAGGGGATTGTGATTGTTTGGACATGGCTTTGATAGTCCAGTGCTTATGCATCAGATCCTCAGAGTCTCACTATCTGTTCATGCCTGTGGCCCCGAGAGAACCCAGTGTGTTTTTTTCTGGGGGAAATAAGCAATCATCAGGCAATACCAGGAATAGTGAAGCTGGAGAACAGGTGGAGACTGGCACTGGGAAATCATGGAAATGCATGGTAAATTTCTCAGAATAATTCAACAGTCCTTCAAACCCTGCATGGCCAGATTGATCCATGGCTTCTCCCTGTGTTCTTTTCCTTTAATACTTACTTTGGCTCACAGCTCTTTTTAACAGAGTCATTTAGAAAGAAATATAAGTGAAAATGTCTGCAATTAAAGTGGCCTTGGTGGTCAAACACTGCTCCTCCTCCCCCTCCTCCTCCTTCTCTCAGGAGACCTTAGGAATGGAGGGTCCCTATTGCCCTGGACTATGAAGGCATGAAATATTAGACAAATTCTTTGATTTATTTCTTATGGGTGCTCTAAGAAAAAATATGATGTGGAATTAAAATAGGCTGGCAGGCAAGTGAGCAGGTTCTATTCTAAATGACCATTGACCTTGGAAAATTAACCCTTGGACCTCAGCTTCTGAGGCTCCTTCTGACCCTGAGTGAGAATTTTTTTTTTAATTGTCTCTCTTCTGATAGCCTCAGGACTGATCATACCTGTGCATATCTGAGAGTTGAAATTGGGCAGAGTTTGAAGGGGAAGGTGTCTGTCTCCCTGGCCTTCATGGATGTCCCAACAGAGCTTCTTTCTCTGTAGAGATCTGTTTAGTAGATTTGAGGCCACGCACCTGATGGTACCATAGTTCTCTTTAATTAGTACCATACTTGAGAAACATAAGCCTCCTTAAGTAGGCTCCCCATAACAGCTTTCATTTTCCACTGTTGGAGAAAAAAAGTAAATGGTATCAGGCATAGTTCCATGGTTACTGTGATTAAAAGTATCCAGAAATGCAAACACTTGGGCCCAGAATACAGTATCCTATATAGAGATATTAACAACTGCCTGATTTGTTTGTTCGTTCATTCATTTATTCATTCATTCACTCACTCGTTGATTAAGAAATGTTAATTGAGGATTTATTGTGCAGTTGGCCTGGAGGACTCTCCCCACTGCCTTCTCTGTCTTATACCATTGAAGTCACTGACCCAAGACTCTGCTCTGAAACTTGACCCTTAGGCAGGAATTAAACAAGGAGCCTGTTCAGAAGGAAGTTGATGGACATTAAGCTTGTTTTTTCCAAGAACACAGTGGGCTTATTTCTCAGATCTGTAATCTTTATCCTGATCTCTCATGGCTGTATTTTTGGCCTAGACGTGGACCCCTTGTAGCCCAGTTTCCTCAGTCTTGGTTTGTTTCCTGCTGCTTACACCCCTGGATTCTGTATTGCTTACCTGCTTTGGTGTTAGACATTAGCTAGCTCTTTCCTGACATGTTTTGGCATCTTGGACTTCTTAAAACCACCACTGTGGCCTGTTTCTCTGGCCTTAGTGAGCTTCTCTGGACTTTGCTCTTGCTGGGTCCTATAATCACTAAGCTAAGCTGGTCTTGTTCACACCGCTTTGCTAGTTACTGAGAATCAGGGACCCATTATCTGAGTTCCTGGGAACTCTCATATGGCTAACTAGGCTACTTAACTCAGTGCCCTAACTACCAGCCTCAACTTCTACCTCCTTACTCTGATCATAACCAGAATGAGCTTAGACTTTCATCTCAAAACCTTTTTATGTCACTAGAATAGTTACCATGTAAAACTCATCTTTAATAATATGGATATAAACAAAATCACAAATATATTTAGCAGATTTGTTGCACATAATATAGTCATAACTCTCTTGGCATGATACTTAATTCAATTTCCTCTTTCTGAAACAACATACATATAGTTCATTTTCATAGTTAAGAATATTATAGAAAAAAATGAGAGCTAGGGATATGGCCCCATGGTAGAGCACTTTGTTAGCATGCAGAACACCGTGGGTTCAATCACAGCACTACAAAAGTAATAGTAATAGTAATCTGCAAGTTAGAGAACAGAAAAAGAACAGAGAAAATCCCTGTTCTATAGAATCTGCAGCTTTAGAAAAGGAAATTCTTGGAATGGAGTAAAAGTAACAGTGGCCTGGAATTGCACGTGTACCTGACCACCTAGGTACCCACCTATTAATGATTCTGTGTGTTCATGTGCTTGGTTCTTCTGGTGATGGCTCCCTAGGCTCTGCACTAATCTGCTGGTTGGAAGATAAAATGCACATAGTTAAGAACTGACAACATTCACAGGTTCTGTTGCAGCCACCTGCCTAATCCCATAATGTTACATGAGGTTTCCTGGGAAACATGCTACAGAACAGACTCTTGTAGGGCAAGGTGTCTGCATCCCTGGCCTTCTAAACTCTGAGGAAGTAGAACCCACCACTGCATAGGCAGGAGGAGGAGCTGTGGCAGCAGCATGAAAGGTCTGCACAGGACCGGCCAGTGGGCAGAGGAGACATTTTTGGAAGAAATTATATGCTTCAAAACTCAAAAGTAGCTCCTGTACTATACCATGAAGTTCAATGTGTTTGCTCTTAATTTCAGAGAGAGGAGAGACCACTCCTTGATTTTAGGTGGGTGACTAAAATGAGAGGGTCAGTGCTAGAGAGACGAGTTCCCTGGCAACATACAAATTTGCCTGGCATGGGAGAACCCAGTGCTAGGAGCTAAAACATGAATCCAAGTTTAGGGGATGAGGTCTGGATTAAGGCAGTGCATATAGAAAGGATGAGCATCACATAAGACAACATTCCAGAAAGAATCCAGGTTCATAATGATAAGAGGGGACATACCTGTCATAAAGCCAAAATGGAGTCTGCTCTGCTGCATGTTTCCTAGGAAACCTCAAGTTGGAATGGGTGGGAGGAGAGGGAGAATGCTTGGACACTCTGCTTGAGAATTTTCTTATCAAGAGGACTAAAGACTCTCCACGGTTTAGGGCTGTAATCCTTTGTTCTAGAAGCATTTAGGACAGGAAGCTGCCTTTATCTGTTCCTTCTCTTATCTTTCCTTTCCACTGGCTTCTAGGGAGACAGTTATATTTGCTCACCATGTGTAACAGGATTCTCTTACCCTGATAGGCCTCTCTTGAAATAATTGATTCTAAAACTCTAAGTCAAGGGCAAGTCAATCCAACTTCTTTTTATTGCTGTTGTTTTATTCTGCTTCTTTTTTAATTTTTTTTATTTTTTTTAAATTAGTTATACATGAGAGTAGAATGCATTTATGCACTTTGTTATACATAGATGAGATATAATTTCTCATTTTTCTGAGTGTACATGTTGCAGAATCATATTGGTCATGCAGTCACATATATACATAAAGTAATAATGTCTGTTTCATTCTACTATCTTTTCTATCCCCACATCTCCTCCCCTCCCCTCCCATTAATTCCCTCTACCTAATCTAAAGTAACACTGTTCTTCCCCTAGTGTTTTCCCTCTCCCTCCAATACTGGCAGAAGTGGCTAATGTTTCACAGTAGAGAAGATGCAAGAAAATTGATTTTGCTTGATTAATATGTTCATCGTTCTTAACTCTTTGGAATTATTTTTACCAATCCTTCTTCTATCTAAAATCTATACAGATACAGCACTGATATATGCTGAATGCTTTATTTTAGTAGAAAAATCAATCTGCCCACAATAAATATTTCCAAGTTTAAAATTCTCTAAATGGAAGAATAAAAAGTAAACTGTTTTTATCATTTTTCTCCATCTCTTCCCTCTACCCATTTTTCTATATTTTTATTGATACATTATACTTGTACATAATGATGGGTTTCATTGTTACATATTTGTACATGCATGCAATATAACAATATACTTTGTTCTATATCATTCCCTTCACTTTTAAAGCTAGGAACAAAGTGGGAGGTATAATATTTAAAGTGATTTGATTTCCCTGCATGAGTTCTGCTATGAGAAGGCATTCAACACCCTGTCAGAAGATGGTTACAGATAGCAACACCCCAAAGGCAGTTTTAAAAATTGCATTAACTTCAATTACATGTGATAAATATCTTCCCCAAGGTAGTTTTGCATCAGTCATTTTAATCAGCTGTTTCAGGCAAGTGTATGGGAGCCAAATGAAACTTAATTGAATACTACAAGACTCATATTTTGGTTCTTCTGAATGGGAGCTTGCAATTTGAAAAAATAAAGCTGAGGTTATGTCCTATATCCAGTTTCTGAGCAAATCATTGCTGTTGAACAGGCCAGTGTTTGACTCCCAGGACTCATGCTACTTTCATATCTGAGGGAGACAGAGCAATCAAGAACTTTATGATGACTGAGATGAGGGTCTTACTTGTCAGGCTGAAAAACCCTGTGTATGTGAACATGAAAGGAAGATCGATAGCATAGAGGAAGGGGATCAGAGAAAGAGAGGAGGGTAGGTAATGGGAAAATACTGGAGAATAAAATCCACCAAATTATGCTATTTCCTTGTATGAATAAAACACAATGAATCACATATATACACACTAATTAAAATAACAGTAAAAATAATAACAATAATAGAAGGAAGAGCAGAAGAGAAAGCAGACTGGGGGAGAGAGGAGGAGAGGGAATGGGAAGGTATTGCAGAATGAGGTTGATCAAGTGGTGTGTATGTATGATTATGGCTAATGGATCCTGCTATTATATAATTATAATATTAAATAATTATACGTATAACATATGTATAATTATAATGCACCAATTAAAAAAGACTATTATATATCTATGGGGAAATTAATGGGATGATCAGAGCCTTAAAGCCACATTTTATTTGAAAAAGTTAAAGGACCAAACAATAGTCAGCTTAGAAGAGAATAAGATTGTTGAACACTAGAGTGAAGAGAGCCCTCAAATGGCATCATTCAGTCCCCTGCCTTGTGAAGACAACATTCACAACGTTCTCTGTGACTGAGAGTCACAGAGCTAATTCATGATGTAGAGACTAGAAGACAAGTCTTCTGACTCCAGTGCCCCAGGGCACCTTTCATATAACCTTCTCTAAGTCCAGGTTCTTTCCATTCTGTGAAGTGATGTCTCTCAGGCTAAATCACACTGAAGCATGACATGCTTGCCATAGAGCCTGCAAATGGAGGACACTGCTGTGCGAATTCCTTCTTCACCAGCACGCCTCCCACCATGACAACCAGTAATCGAGGAGAAGACTGTGATTAGAGCTGTTCGTCATCTCTACGTGGATATCCACATATGCTTTTTCAGGAGGCTGGATAAGAACACATGAAAATAAACTACAAATTCCTATTTTAGCAAGACATTAGGAGGAAGGGGAGGGGCTTTCTAATGAGTGGGATTGTCCAACAGCAAAGGCTGTACCCAGAACTAAGTTTCTCATCGGGGCATGTATTCAAACAAGCCAGGTGGCAATCAAGGAAAGATTTCCTCCAGAATTTTCTTAATGAATAGAAGCCAGGATTAAATTACTTGTAAGACACTTTTTTTTTAACTTGCTGGCAATAGGGAGGAGGAGAAGTATGTATCCAATGCTATGTTTAGAGAGACTCATCTGACAGCAGCGACAAGTGGCGGAGGGAGTGGCAGAGGAAGAAATGCTGGCAGAAAGCTGGCTGGGAGTTGTAACATTTTTAATTAGCAACATAAAATCACAGAAAAATAGATGCTGTATTCACCAAAAAAAAAAAAAAAAACCTACAGCGTCTAATCTGCATTTATTTTACCTCTTCTCACAAAACTGTTTACACATTGAGTTGCAAAGCACCTGAAAATTCTGCTTCTGGCCAAGCTCTTTAAAATTCTCAGTAACTGGTGCTTCTGCCAATCCCAGTGGACATCCTGCAAGGGTACAAGAGAACAGGGACACAGGGAGGAGGATAAACGAAGGGTCAGAAACAGACTGTGTTCAGCCAGAAGCTAGCGTGTCTTTTTAACTTTTATCTCTTCAATTCTCAGGTTATGTTGACATCGGGCTCATTCCCAAAGGAGCGAGGGACATAAGGGTGATGGAAATCAAAGCAGCAGGAAACTTCCTGGCCATCAGGAGTGAAGACCCAGAAAAATACTATCTGAATGGAGGATTCATTATCCAGTGGAACGGGAACTATAAGCTGGCAGGGACGGTCTTTCAGTATGACAGGAAAGGAGACCTGGAGAAACTGATGGCCCCTGGCCCCACCAATGAGTCAGTGTGGATCCAGGTAATGCAGAGGGGAAGGGAACTGCAGACGCGGATGCGGTGTAGCCTCTTTTCCTTTTCCTGGTATTTGCTGGGGCATATGAAGTAAGAATCATTAAAACTTCTTCTAGCAAAGAAGAGAGAGGGAAGCAATATATTTGTGGTTCTCATCCTTTATTGCTTAGGAATTGCTAAAACTCCCATAACAAAATGCCAGTGGCTTTCAAATCCCCCATTAGGAAGTCTGAGTTGTTTCCAGGCTGGTTTACTTGAGGGTAATTATTTGTCAGATATGTAACAGAGCTTGCAGCCTATTGTCAGTGTGACGTGAGTCTCCAGGTAGATTCCCAGCAGTGGGGAAGAAGGTACATGCTGGCAGGTGCTTGTCCTCAGGCAGAGGGTTTGCCTTTGTGAAGCTGTAGGAGGAAAGAGGTGTTAGGATGCAGTATGTGCTCTTCAGAGGCACAAGGACTTGTCGTTCATTTTGGTGTTGAACTATAGAAAAGAAAAAAGGCATGACTGTACTGGTAGAGGCAAGGCAGACTGGGAACAGCAGATACTCCAGACAGTCAATCTAGCTACATTCAAAAGTTAGAGGTCAGGGTTGGCAGCTGTGGTCCATGACTGTCAGCAGACTTTATTTCTGACCTGGTCAGAAGGGCAAAAAGATGTACATGTTGGAACCTCAACCCCAGGGAGCAAATAATTCACCTCCTCTGAGTTTAAGGTAAATCTAATTCAAATGTGTTGTAGGATGACCTACAGGATAAGGAAGTGAAGGGACGGTCCCAAGAGCAGCACACATTAGCTAAAACCCATGACATTCTTATCCCAGAATTACTATGCATTAAAGGAACTAACCAGCTGAGAGCTAGGATAGAGCATCAAAAGACAACAGCAGGGCGTGATAACAGTTAACATTTATTTAGTGCTAATCTTGTGTCATGTTCTAATAACTTTACATGTATTTACTCATTTAGCCCTCATCATAACCCCATTAGTAAGTACTATTATTACTTAGTACATGAGGGAACTAAGGCACTTACCTGTATTCACGAAGTTGATAATTATATAAGACACAAATGACCTATCAGCTGGTTGTTGGAGAGGACACTCCCTGGCATTCTCTCAGAGTAATGTCCATGTAATTGGACATCCCCATTTACAGAAATGGAAATCCAACCAAAAAATAACGGAATGGAGACTATATATATATGGACATAGGTAGAGGGAGGTATGAAAGTAGAGGTACAGACACAAATATGGACCTAGATATAGGTCCATTTAATGGTATCTGTTTCAGTGTGTATTCTCTTAACTACTTTCAGATGATGGACCTTTGTGTAGAGTTTTGACCTGACTGTGGTTTGCAATCTAAAGTCATGACATCATGTTTTGTCATCCCTTTCTTGCCTTTTAGCTCCTATTCCAGGTGACTAACCCAGGCATCAAGTATGAGTACACAATCCGGAAAGATGGCCTTGACAACGATGTGGAGCAATTGGTGTACTTCTGGCAGTTTGGCCGTTGGACAGAGTGCAGTGTGACATGCGGGACAGGTGAGGGACAGCTACTGTCACTAGGAATCCTAGCCACCTTCCTAGAGTGGTCCTTAGAAGCATCTTAGCCAGTGGTTTGTACTCCATGTTCACGGATCTGCAGGGTGCCAACATGTGGCCAGGGGCCCTGTGGGCAGTGACAGTGTAGAGATGTGGCTTAAAGGCAGAGGCACTTCTGCTCACATCTCATTGGTTGGCCTTAGTCACTTGGACATCATCTACCTGAAAAGGGAGGTTGGGAGAGATGAAGCAGCACAGGTTGTTTGGGGAGCATAGCTGTCCACCATGGTGCCAGACAAACTCTCCAAGGCCTGTGAAGGCAGGTTCAGGGCCTGTGGGTACTTGGGGCTTTCCTTCATTTAAAGGGCTCATTTAATAGCACCATGTGTGAAGTCTCCATTTCTTTTCTCTTTTGGATCATGTCCAAGTTGATTCTAAAACTTTTTGCCTCCAGCCTATAACTACTGCCTATAAAACTAGGGCAGCTGCAGAGTGAAGAGCCAGAATCTGGGACCCAGCAAAGGGAATAAAAAGTGAAGGAGTGAATGGATCAGGAGGCCAGGCTGCCTCTCCATGGGCTGCCCACTCACATTCTCAGACTCTGCCGGATCCTTCACTGGCCTCACCACTCCAAGAGATATCGTAGAAAGAGGTCTCCCAACGACCGTTGGGTCATGCACCTTCAACATTATTTTCCTGATTCAGCACAGAAAACCAAGGTCAGCTTTTAGAAAACACAAGGATGAAGACCTCATTTTACAAAGTATGAGGTTTGAAAATGCTAAACCTCTGGAAATGGGTTGGAGACAAGGGTGCTATCTGTGGCTGCAGCCATAAGTGGTATTGGTGGGAGAGTCCATCCTGTGATTTCCCCTGCTGTGTTAGCATTTCTAAATGTACTGACCTCCTGTCCCACCCTCATTGCCCAGAGTGATGGGAGGGGTTCCAGAGAAGCAAAGGTCATTAAAGCAGAAAATCAGTGGATGAAAGAAACTTCCCCAGAGGAGCAGTTGTGAGGAAAACGAAGTCACTGTGAATGTAGTTACCAGTACTTTTTCAATTTATGATCCTCTTTGTTCTTGTCTTTCAATGAAGTTCAAGTTGAAGCTTTAAGTTTAAATCATTTGTCCCAGCACATCACAGAGTAAAACTTAACCAATACTAACGGGGCAGGGACTCCCAAAACAGGAGACCATCCTCCACCCCTCCACCCTCTTCTATTTCAAGACAGGATGAACCCTTTGATTCATGTGCAATATTTCTAAATGCCAGGAATAAAGAGATAAGTGGCTGGGTTTTGCAATGATGATAGTGTTTTAATCAGCTTTTTTGTCACTCTGACTAAAAGACCCGACCAGAACAATTAGAGGAGGAAAAGTTTATTTGGAGGTCCGGGTTTCACAGGTCTGACTCCATTGCTCAGGGACTGAAGTAAGACAGAACATCATGGCAAAGGGATCCGGGAGGAAGGCAGCTCAAGACATGGCAACAAGAAAACAGAGAGAGCTCTGCTCATCAGGGACAAAAAGAGCATCTTTGGGCTCACATGAAACATAATCTCCTTAGCTTTAACTTCTTCGTGGAGTTTCTAGACTCAAAGAGCATAAATATTACGACAATGTTAAGAAAAAGGGTTTCAAAAAGGTGGGAGCCTTACTTTTTTGTCTGTTGTTATTATTTTAGTTTTTCAGTTTTTACCTGGGAATCATTTCAAATATACCAGAAAAATAGAGAATGTAATAGCAAATCCTGTGCACCAACCACTCAACTTTATCATATTTTACCACTGGGTCATGTTGGTTTCAATTTTCATTTTTCAAGAGAAACATCCCACAACTAGGGTTAAGGAACATACCCCAGCTTCACATTCATCCTCTTTTCCCCAGAGTTAACACAGGCATGAAACTAGTGCTTATTATTCTCATATATGTAGTTGAACACTTCTGCTACACGTGTATACAGTGATGCCTATTTCTTAGGCAGTTAAGCTTTCTGTAAGTAGCATCATATTCAAGGTATCATTCCTTACTTGTTATATTTATTCAATTTATGCTTTTGAGATAAATCCACACTGAATAAAGTAGTGATAGCATATTTATTTTCGGAGCTGTATATCATTCCCTTATATGAATGCCCCCAAATTTATTTATAAATTCTACTATTTTGCATTTCATAACTATTTCTGCAATGCTATAATGAGCACCTTATAATTACTGCCTTCTTACCTCAATATTTGAGCTTTCTTAATTTGTTTACCTATCAGTGGAATTCCTGGGTCATAAAGTGTATTCATATTGCAAGAGTGAGTCACTGAACTCATCAGGTGCTGTGAAATATTTTAAAATTTCCAGGGAAATAGAAAAATTTTAAAGAGACACACAGTACTTAACATCTCTAGCACATCACATGAAGTACTAGCTCAAGGCAATGCAGTTTCAAGAGTGGGTCTCATTACGTTCCTTTCAATGACATCTTACTTTGTGACACTGGATTTTCAATGGGTGCTGTGATTTAAAAAAGAAAATCACGTACCTCCTGAAAATGAATATCGAACAGAAAATATGGTATCTAGTCTTGTTCTAAGATTTGAAAAGTTGTGTATATCTAATAGTTGCACAAATCTCATTTATAAGTTAATTTAAAATGAAATTCAAATATTATTTTATCTTAGCTGGGCATGGTGGCACATGCCAGTGTGTCAGGAGGTTGAAGCAGGTGGATCCCAAGTTCAAAGCCAGTCTCAGCAACTTAAGGAGGCCCTAAGCAACTTATCAAGAACCTGTCTCAAAATTTAAAAAAAAAAAAAATTAAGGGCAAGGAATGTGGCTCAATGGTTAAGCATCCCTGGATTTAATCACCTGTGCAAAAAAAACACACACACACATACACACACACACAAACACATACACTCTATATCTATATCTATACACACACCTATATGTGTATATATATGTATATATGTATAAATAATATAACATATATATTATATAACATATATAAGGACTATTACTTCTTAGGAAAAGTTGGAAGAAATTGGACTAATAATAACATCCTTACAAGGAACTTGCTGAAAGAAATTAACCTGAGTCACCCAAAAAAGATCACCAGTAAAAGTACAACAGATGCATGATCAGTGGAGAAACATCAAATGCAGGTCTCAATAGGAAACTGCAGGACTCCTTATTCAACAAGAGAATATTTTGGCAAAAATCCAGGATCACTTGCACAGTGATATAAAACCACATTTTTGCCCATTACAGACTTAGTGCTGTGGGTTCTCTCAGATGTAGTACAACCTAACCAAAACTTCTCGTGTCTGGTAAAACTCATAGCAAAGGCATTGTTGTGAGAAAATGGCTCTTCACTTCTGAACTTGACTTTTGCCAATTTTGTGTTCTGTGGTCTCCTCCATTCTGCAGCTTGGGGTCTGTTGGTATTACAATGGCCTACACAAATGGGAGAATTCTTTCCCCTGCCCTACCCTCATCTTCAGCTTTCCCTTTACCCTACTTGGCTGGATTCTTTCTGGAGTTTAGTCATTGTTCCTTTGCTCAAGGACTGTTCTCATAGGAAAAGGCAAAGATTGAAAACTCCAAGATCATGAACATCACTTGAAAGTTCCTGGATACTGCTCAAATTGTTTATGTAGGCCAACAGACCTACAATGGAATTACCTTCAGTGGAAATAAATACTCATACAGCAGATCCTAAAATTAGTTTGCACAAAGTTTATCCAACAGTATTCCTACTAAAGCTAAATATAACCACATTTGAGATATGTCCACATATCCTTGACCAAGTATTAGAATATAAATAGGGACACATATTTGCCTCCAATCTTGATGAGGGGAGAGGGGGTGTAGCTCAGCAGTGGAGTGCTTGCCTACCATAAGCAAGGCTTTGGATTTGAGCCCAGCACTACACACACACACACACACACACACTAACACACACACACGCACATGCACACATACACACAATACAATAAATAACCCTGATGAGTGACCACATACTGATGTTCAGAAGGCAGAATCCACTTCTTGGAAAATCAGAGTCAGACATTTCCTTGAATTTCTCAAAGTGCTGTCATTTCGGTACCAGTCCCTCTCACTCTTCCCAACATAATTGTCAGATAAGATCCACCAAATCCAGACAAATCAAAAAAATCTGGAACAATACCTGGAAGATACTTTTTAATGTAAGACTTCATAATGGTAATAGGAATATGTATTGAGGTAGATTAAACATATGACACAAAATAGAAGATTACATAGTTTGCCATATGCATAATAATTTTTAAAAAACTGTAAGTAATGTACAGTGGAGATATTATAACTTTTTAGTGTACTTCACTAATGAACAAATGAAAACCCTTAGTCAGGGTGACTAATCTAATGGTCTCTCATTCTGCTGGTCTTCTAAGTTCCATCCCATTTTAACCCCTTGCAGCCAGCAGAGATCAGTCCCTCCCTTATTTTCAGGCTCTTAGTTCTGTTTTCTAATAGTACGGTTCCTTGGGATTTTTTCAACTGGTTTCTGTGAAGATTTTCTTTGCACAGTGTGCTTTGTGAAATGCTGCTGTACACTTTATCAACTCACGAGTGTTGTGAGATTTTTTACACTTCTGAATTTCTTCATTCACGTGCTTTGCCAGACTCATGCACAGTCTAAGGAAGAGAAGTCGTAATCAATACGGAGACAGTGTGTGGAAAATTTTGAAAATTGTTCGTTCATAGGGCAGATCTACTTTTTTCTAATACCACACAACACTCTTGACATACAAGCAATGCTTTTCTTTGAGCACCTTCTATGTAATTTTTTATAAGTTATCCCTACCATGAAAGTCAATAAATGAATTTGTGTAATAAGTTCATTGGCATTCAGGAGAGAAATTGGCTTTAAGTCTTACTGATCTTGTGAGATGTATGGGTTTTGGTGATGACAAATGATATAGTCAAGTCACATTAACTCATATCCATCCAACTGTTTGTAATTATTTAAATCTGTGTCAATGCCTTTTTGAGCTACAAAAAAAAATGGATTGTGTGACTAGAGATTGAATTATTTGCAGAAACTTGGTTGCATCAGAGCAGTATGAAAAAGGCTTTAGTGCTCTGGATAAATTGAATATAATCTATTCCCTAATCTGAGAGTGTAAAACCAATCCTGATTTTACAATGAATGTGCAGGAAGTTTCAGAGAGAGTTTGGTTGAATGGGTTACAAAGAAACTTCAAATTCATATTCAAGAATTGTTTGCAAAATCCTACTCTGCATTTAGCATTGTACCAGGGCTTAGGGTTGATCATGTTTATATTAGGGTGCATATGTCATTTTTGTCCTCATGACAACCCTGCACTATAATTTTATTGTCATCTTGGAAACTGAAGTTTGCAAAAATAAGGAAGATCGCCCAAGATTACTCATCAAGGAAGTGTTAAGGCAGGATTCAAAACCAGTTCTAATTCTCATGGCATTGCTGTTAAAGTTGATGCTGTGGTTGTTGTCAATCACACACACACACACACACACACACACACACACACACGTGTGAACACACACTTCAGTATGCTTAAACTCATATTGATGGCATCCAGGCTTTTCTAGGCTGAGTTTCATTATGAAGGATAAAACCAAACTCATTGAGCCAGGAAAATAGAGCTGAGGATCTAAGGGAGCCTGAAAAAAAAAAAAAGAAAAAAAAACAAGGTAAATGTTTAGTGGTAATTAAAATAGAAATTTGGTAGATTGAGGGTACACTAGTCAGCAATACAGATGGTTGTACAATTTCGACTTTGTCCTGTAAAGTTATTGTTGATTCTGTGCATTTAGGGGGATTGTAGTAAGTGACAGCCTCTCTATTCAATCACAAAATTGTTGACATTTCACATTAAAATCAATGTTATATCCAATGTTAGGAGAATTTTCCATAGTTCATTACAATAACCTAAGTCTTAAGCTGTTTTATCTATACCCTTCCTAAATTGAACTTCTGGATCAAGAAAAGCTCATGTAAACTAAATGAACCATATAACAGATTCCCTCTATTTTATCATCTAAATATTAAGTTCAAAATATGATGAACTATGTTATTGTTGAGGGTTTTTTGTTTGCTTGTTTTACATAAGGAACTTTACTTGTTACTTCTTTCAACACAACAATTTCCACTCAAGATTATCAGGTTTACAGTATAAGGAAATAGTTCTTACAAGTCAAGGCACTTACTGGACCTGTTACTGCTGATGTCCAACAGGACTTACCAAGTTCTTACAGACATGTAGCCACATTCTCATTGCTACATAGAGAAAGGGGTTCTGAAACTTCTGGAAATAGCATTTTGAATTTGATTCTCATATATTTTTCAATGTGATTGAGTTCTACTTAATGTCTCTTCAAGTGAATGCTTTCAGAGAGGCAGTTAACTTAGATCTGAACATATTGATTGACTGGCATCCGTAATTAGGTAGGGTTTCTTTGGGAGCTGTTATCTGTTTGAAGGAATAAGAGGCAGATGGAAAGGCAAATAAAAAGTCAATATTATTCTTCTTTCTTTACTTGCCAGGGGAAGATCAAGGTCACATAGATTCAACCTCACCTATTACACTTTCTGCATTTGTAGCATTATATAATGATAACTTCCCTTAAAAGGAAGACCGATTCTAACCCCATTCATAGTAGGTTATTAAAATATCCTGTTAAAGAAAGATTGTTATTCCAGTAATTGGTTTTCAAAGTTATCTAATGAGTATGTCACTGAAGATTGATAGTTAGAGGTTTTTTCCTATAATGTTGTTATCACATAAGGGCACCAAGAGGAAACAGCACACCCAAACTGTCTACCTTAGCTACTTTTACAGGAATGGATAGGGTTTAGGGAAATGAAGAAAGGTGAGTAATTATTCCTGCCCATTAACAGTGCAGGTAGGGGAAACCAGGCTACCACCCCTAGGCTTGAAAAATTAAGGGAAACAGCATTTAAATAGAAATAGTGCCTCCATTTCCCAAACCTAACTGGACGGTTAGTCCTAATTGAACTAACCACAGGTCTGGTTCCATGAGGTTCAGAGCCAAGTGAAGAAAGGGGCAAAGTAGATCTGGAGGGAAAACAGAAGAACCGTAGCACAGGAGAAGGAATTAAAAGTTGATGGAATCAATAGTGGATTGACTTCAGCAAACACACTGAATTGTAGCTCTAAGAAAAGGATGAAAGTCAACATTAATCAAGTGCTGCTCTAGCTACTACCATATGTAACAAACCACCCCAAATTTAGGACAGTTTTACTTTATCATACTCACAGTTTCTATTGGCTAGAAATTTAGACAGGGCACACTCAGAATTCCATGTGATGTGTGGATCTTTCTGTCTGACCCCCAGGTATCCGCCGTCAGACTGCCCATTGTGTGAAGAAGGGCCACGGGGTGGTGAAAGCTACATTCTGCAACCCGGAAAAACAGCCCAATGGGAGACAAAAGAAGTGCTATGAAAAGGATTGTCCACCCAGGTAACCATTGATAACACAGAGCTGGAGCGATACGTATCTATTTACAGTGACTCTAATTAAACAGTAATCCAGTGCTCAGTGACACAGGAGGACTGTGGGCTGGTCAGAATAGATACAGGAAAACTGTTAGATTTTCTGAGGCTGTGCTGTTGCAGCCTGTGGCTAGCCGTGAGGACGTTATCTTCCCAGAGAATGGTATTTCTTAAAAAGATGATGTATGGTTGTTTGTTGGGAAAGACTAAATCTTGCTGAAGAGAATTCTTTGTAGTTTACCCACAAGTTGTTTAACTAAAGGGTTTGGCTTTTCCAAGGGCACTTTACCATGCAAATGTAGCCTTCAGTGTGAATTGGCACCTTCAGATCACCATGCCCACTCATACTTCAGATGAGCTGGAAGACAGGACTTAGACAGCAGGCTTTCTCTACCTTGGCACTATTGACCTTGGGGGCTGAAAGACTGTTGTGGGAACTGTCCTGTGAGTTGTAGGAATGCTTATGAACATCCCTGGCCTGCATCCACTTAGAGGGATGCAATCCGGGTTGAGACAGGCTGAAATTGCCAAGTGTCTTCAAGGTGGCAAAATCACCCTTGATTGAGAACCATTGTTATAGAGATATTCACTTGCTAACCACGTTGGTTCAAGATAGCCGACTATTCCAAAAGTTTTATGCACTTTCATTGCACTTGTTTTCCTTCAAAGTTAATGAGGCTCTACCAACCAATAAATTCCTTTGACACTCATCAGATAGCACCCACTCCACTAATGCCAAGGAATCTTTTCTTACTTTTCAAAACCACTCTTTGTTGGACTGGCCACCTTCTTAAAATCAAAGCTATTTCTTTCCTGAAAACAATTTATCCCTGAGGCTTACATTCTTTTTTATGTTTTGATAGAGTCTGCCTTGGCCCTTATATTACCAGCCAATATTTGTTGAGCATCTACTATTTTTCATAAGAGATGCAATGTGGTATAAACCAAATACTTTTTGCCAGTTTTTGAGTGCATACTTTACTCTTGGCCATATGTTAGAAACATCTTGTGTATTCTCTTTATCTTTCACAACTACTCAGATAAATATTATTATGCCAATTTTCCAGAGGAAGAAACTTTTTCTTCCTCACTCAATAGCATAAAACTAGTAGAAGGCAGAGATTTGAACCCAGAGCTGTATGTCTCTAGAGCCTGTGCTGTCTGCTCTACACAACAGGCCCCCTGAAGAGAGGCATGCACATCTCCCCTTATTGGGGCTGTGTTCTAGTGAGGCACACACTGTGCTCAGAGAGGTGGGCACCAAAAGACCTGGCTGCAGGTGCTTGCCTACTATGCAGAGAGGAGAGGAAAGCAGGGATATCAACTATGCACATGAAAAGGCTGTGGGTTCAAAACCAGCTCCCTGTTTAGGACAAGACAGGCATTGGCATTTTATCATTCACTTGTCACTAAAACTTGGCTTCAGTATTTTCAGAATTCACTTCCCTTAAGCGTGGCTGTCTTTATCTACCTCTACCCTCCCATCACTAGAACTTTCTAGTTGGTGGTAACAGGATAAGGTACAGCTGGGGCGCTAGAAGGAGCTACCTGTTGGAACAAGACTGCAGAGACTGGAGGACAGGATATGAGCTGAAGCTAAATCCCATCCTAGAGATAGACATGGAGGAGATAAAGAAATCCCTAAGTGACAAGGCTTAGCTCTGTGCCTTGGCAGTCGCCCCTCAATGCAATAGTGTGGTAGGCTGAAAAATGGCCCCAAGACACCCACATCCTAGTATTTGGAGCCTGTGTCACCTTATTAGGGAAAAGGATCTTTTCAGATGTGCTTAAGTTAAAGACCTTGAGATGTAGAGGGCCTCCTAGTTATCCAGGAGGGCCCTAAATGCCATCACAGGAGTTCTTGTGAGGTAGACAGACAGAAACTCAACAAACAGAGAGAGAGAGAAAAAGAAAGGTGATGTGAAGAGAGAGCTGGCCTTGAGGGTTGGAGCGATGCAGCCATGATCAAGTATGCAGTCAGCTATCACAAACTGAAGAGGCAAAGAAAAGTCTAGAGCCTCCGGGGGAGTACGGCCCTGCTGACACCTGGATTCCAGCCTAGTAATACTGATTTTGGACATCTGGACCCCAGGACTATAAGAGATTAAATTTCAGTTGTTTTAAGCCACCAAGTTTGTGGCAATTTGCTACAACAGTCTAGGGCACGAAGGCCACTTCATGCAAAGGTAATACAAAAGCAGGGGAAGAGCAGAGGAGATCCCACCACCGGGTCACAGATTCTTCAAAGCTGTTTTCTTGGGGGTGGCAGCAAAGGATTTTTTTTTTTTTCGAATGATACAAACATGTTTGGTTTTCAAGTGTTCCCTTATATGCTGAGATGCTTCAGAAAATGAAAAATTTATACTTAATTTCTTGGGCATATGAACAAACTCTATAACATGAAGCTTACAGTCAAGAAGGCAATACAAGATACACATGCATTGGCAAGGTAAGACCTGTCAGGTACTTTCTCCAGGGCCCTGCCTCCTGCTGCTGATCACAGGATCTAGCTTTCCTTGAGCCTTTGTGGCTAACTGGCTTCTCTTCATCTCTTGGCTTTAAGAGCATCCTGTTAGAACAAGGTCAATGATACACTTTTCTCCAGCTATGCTTCTTAAGCTGAGCTCATGGATATAGCTTGTGGATCCAGAGCAAACTTTTGAAATAGACCAATTATGCAGACTCCTCTCATGAAATTAGTCATGACACCCAGGTAGTCAGAATGGAAGTGCTGATGGCCACACATGGGAGCCAGGCAACCGACAGCCACTGTGCAGTCCCAACCATGCCGACGTAGCATCCAGAGCCGGGTTTTCTTGGTGAGATGATGACTATTTCTCCAGCTTCTGCCTTCTACATCATCATGCTGCAGGGTAGGAAAACAATTCATCCTGTTCCCCAGCCTCTGATGTCATGTTGGAAACATAATTTCCTCCAACTCCCTTCAAACAAGCTAGAGATTATGCTTAAGGAAGAAGAGCAAAGAGGAAGCAATTTGACAAGTCTTTAAATCTTCACCATTTGGGAGCATTTTTTTTGTTGTTGTTTTTGCTATGATTTAAGTCCCTTTTCTTCTGTTTGCAGCTATTTCCCAATGTCTGAGTTTCTTTGAGGCTATTTTTGCACAAGATTAATGCCAGTGCCTCAGCTTGTGGTCATTAAAGATCAACAAAATTAGCAGATCAAACCTGAATCAACTCAGTTCACATCTCAAACTAAAGGCACAGCTTTCAGAAAGATATTAATGATCTCAGGGGTGTCTTTGGAACCCTGAAAGTTAAATATTTGCCCTTGTTTTTAATACCCAAGGTGTGTACACACACAAACAGAGAGAGGCATCCATATTTATATTTAAAATCAATGATATCTATGTTTAGAGGATTATTTGTCATCAGCCAGCTAAATTGTATTGAAATTCTATTTTTTTTAATTTTTTATTTGTTTTGATTAATTATACATGACAGTAGAATACATTTATGCACTTTGATATATCATACAAAGATGAGATATAATTTCTTATTTTTCTGAGTGTACATGTTGCAGAATCATATTGGTCATGCAGTCATATATATATATATATATATATATATATATATATATATATATATACAGTAATAATGTGTGTTTCATTTTTTATCTTTCCTATATTTACTTTATTTTTATGCTGTATGCATATACTCATACTCCCTTCTCTGAATGCCTATTAGTTTGTTAATTTATCTGGACTAAAATTTTAAGAAGAGTATCAATTAGAAAGTCTGTGTCGTGCTTCTATTGTGTGGAACATTTTTGTTGAAAGATGAGGCTTTCATGCTTGGTCAAAGATTTCAGTTCCTGAGAATGTTAATTAAACACAAAACATGCAGGCATGATTTCTAGAACTGTGTTCCGCAGTAAAATATGATAAGGTAAATAAAATTTCATGAAATGGCCAGATACAATGGTTAGTTTTCAGAAGTCCTTCTTATTTATGACTGATTTCAGCTTCCCCAGGTATTTATGAAGTAACCAGGAGACAGAGGGTGAATATTACCCCACCCACCTGTGGTATATGAGGTGATGACTTTTCAAAGAAATTTGATGTCATGCCTTCGGGGTAAGGACTGAGAATAAATTAGCCATTTTTTTAAAATACACAATATTTTCTAAACCCTTTCCATACTCCATATTATTTAATTCTGCCAGTAAGCCTTATTGATAGATATTTTGCATTCAGTATATCAATGAGGGAGCACCCAAAGCCTTCACCAGTTTTCCAAAGTCATTTGGCTACCAATGGTAGAGTCTGGATTGGATCCCAGATCCATGCTGAGAAGCCGCTGCTTATGTTACCATACCACGATGCTGCCCAGGATCTCAGGATGAGCAAGGTTGAGAATGAACCCGCCGCAAATTTATAATATTCCTCTCCCATTAAAACACAATGAAAATTTGTGAACAAGCCAGAAAATTTGGCCCCAGAACTAAGCCATGCATGTAAATTCACAAAGAGATTAGATAAAAGAAATAAAATTAATTTGCTTTTTAAAGAATAAATAATAAATGAAGGTTGCTCTTTTATTTTTTTTTTTAATTTTTTATTGTGGGTTGTTCAAAACATTACAAATTTCTTGACATATCATATTCCACACTTTGATTCAAGTGGGTTATGAACTCCCACCTTCACCCCATACACAGATTGCAGAATCACATCAATTACACATCCATTGATTTACATATTGCCATACTAGTGTCTGTTGTGCTCCGCTGCCTTTCAAGGTTGCTCTTTTAATAGTATTTATTTTTACAAACTTAGCCTAGCAGTTAGTTTCCTTGGATACAAATTTCAAGTGGCAACATCTTCCTCTGACACCTGATTTCCATGGTATCTGAAAAGCTCATATTTACCACTCAGAGCTGTCACTCCTCCTCCCCAGAGATTTCATGGACAAGGCTTTTTTGTTTCTCAATCACTTTTCTTATAATTCTCATGTATTTGTTTATTTATTTTTAATTTTATCTTTTTTAATACAGGACAGCGGAATGTATTATAATTCTTATCACACATATAGAGCACAATTTTTCATACCTTTGTATAAAGTGTATTCATGCCGATTCATTCTTTATACATGTACTTGTTTTTTTGCATTATAATTCTTATTACACATATATACCACAATTTTTCATATCTCTGTTTGTATATAAAGTAGGTTGAGACCCAGTTCGTGTCTTTATACATGTACTTTGGATAATGATGTCCATCACATTCCACCATTCTTGCTAATCCCCTGCCTCCTCACTTGCCCTCCATCCCCTCTTCCGTATATAGAATTCTCGTTTTTACATCCAGTTTCAACATACTGTGTTGTTCCCCAAAGGAATTTTCAAGACAGATTTTTTAAAAAGATTTAATAAAAGCTTTTGATTATCTAAATCTAAGAAATATGCACCCTGCTGCCAATGGTTTTATGGACAAAAGCCTTGCATAGCCTGTTCCAGGATAGAGCAGCCTATCAAGAAAGAAATTCTTTGGAATTAAAGTGTATCTGACTGCAGAAAGAGGTCATTTGAGTCTCTTCTCCCTATTGACTTCTCTCTGAACTTTGGTTTTCAGCAAAGCAAAGCTCTGAAATTCTACAGCTGTGGTAGCGTCCAGCGTTTCCAAAGTGTTCAATAAACATCTGATAGCAATTCATCCAACTCTGGCAGCTGCATGTAGCTTTCAATGCACTGAAGAATGGCACATGATTTAAGTCAAGCTCAGCACTGTTGCTAGTTCAGCCTAGATTATTCCTTTTGTTGGAGGGCTGTCTTGTATATTATAGGCGGCTTGGCAGCACCTCTGGCCTCTACCCACTGGATGTCAATGGCACCCCACCCTCATTTGTGACCATGAAAAATGTCTTCAGACATTCCTCCCCTGGAGAGGGAGTATGGGACTCTCCACTAGTTGAGAACTTCTGATCTAAATAAATGAACAGGATCACTGAGACAAGGGAACGCCCACGAAAGAGAGGGGAGGGTGACATGGCGTGTGTTAGGGACAAGAAAGCTAGGGCAAATGAGGTTGGAGGAACAGGATGTCATCAGAAAGACAAGCTGTGCACGGGGTGAGGAGGGGAGGGTGCTTATTATAGGAATGGTGGTTTTGTTGGAATTTAGAATGTTCATTAATTGGATGTTGAAGTGTAAATGCTATTAGGAAAAATAGTACAAAAAAGATGATAATTATTAAAGGGTTTTTTTAATAAAATTACTTTCTGAGTAAGAATATGACAAATTCAAACTTGGCCTTTCAATTATCTGAGTAATGAGGGTTAGAGTGAAGTGACCAGATTCTCTGGCAGTCTGAGCTACCAAGCCAGCACTGCCATGGGAATGGGTAGAAGGGGTAGATAAGAGAGAGGGTCAGAGGTTCTCCACCCCAGCCATCCTACTTCATCTTGGGAGGAACTCGATCCGAAGTGAACTTTCCCAGGACAATTGCAAGTTCTTCAAAGGTCTCTCTCTCTCTCTCTCTCTCTCTCTCTCTCTCTCTCTCTCTCTCTCACACACACACACACACACACACACACGTTCACACATGCACAGATACACGTTTCTATGTTATCCATAACTCATTATAAAACGATAAAGTCTATTCTTTGGAGAAAAATAAATTAGAGACAAACAGCTAAATCCCTTTATTTGGTACCGAAACACCAGTGGTTTCTAACCCTGACTTCAAATAAGTCATCGGGAAACTCTAAGAAAGCACCAATGCCCTGCCTCCAAGAGATTCTGAATAGTCAGTCATTCCTGGACATGACTTTTGAAAGCTGACCACATATTGATACACTGAGAATCAGTGGTAGAGTACCAGTTCTTAGGACTTTTACATGATAATTGGGAAGAGTTCAACTTGTGTTCAGTGGCTAAAGAACAATATAGTCAATGTCTGATCAGTTGTCCAGTTGTGTTGGGTATTATTAAAGAAAAAATTATTCAATGATACTTGTTAAAAATATAGTAAGAAAACTTACTCAGGACCATCATGGTAGGTATAGGGATTTTGCAGTGAGAAAGAGACTGGCCTGAACATGGACATAGACAAACAGAAACTTTTACCCAAGGTGCAAGGTGGGGATCAGTGGATGGGAAAATATTCAGAAAAAAAAATCAGGGATAAGAAGGGATTTGGGCTAAACTGACCTAATAATTCTTAACAAAAATAAATCAGAGTGATCAGATATTTCTGTAATGGTGAAGGATGAGGAGCCCAATCAGATATGATAGGTGATCAGATATCTAGGATGGGAGGTTCTTGTGAAACTGATTCAGCAGGGTTCTCTGCTAAAAGTGGGTTTTTAACAAAATAATGCACATATTAGGCCTAGGAGAGAATCCAGAAGCCTGACTAGTTTAGTCAAGAAGAGATTCTTTGTCAGTACCATTGGCATTCTGGTTAGAAAAAGATGAATGGCAAAAACAGAAAAGTCAGGTTAGTTTGATGTTAATTCCGTGTTGACTAAACCAGAAGGGTTGTCTTGTTGAGGCATAATAAACATTTCTGCTGGGTATTTTGTCCCTGAATTCTTTGCATATTTCAACAATTGCTGAGTACTTTAACCGTATATGTTCTATAGATATAAATATAAAATCTCCCATAAACATAAAAATAGCATTTTGTTCTTAATCTCCTAGAAGAGGTGGGGCTATGGCAGAGATCAAGAAGAATGAGATAGACAACAGACAGCAACTTGACAATGGCTCCTGAGACCTGGGCCTGGAAGACCTTTGCAGGAAAAAAAAAAAAAAAAAAAGGAGGTGGTTTTCACTTTAAACCACTGATGAGCTGGGTTTTTTTGGTTTTGTTTTTGGTTTTTTGTTTTGTTTTGTTTTGTTTTTGTACTGGGGATTGAACCGAGAGGCACTAAACCACTGAATCACTTTTTATTTTTCACTTTGAGACAGGACCTGACAAACCATCTTAATATGGTTTGTGCTGCTATAAGTTATAACAGAATACCAGTAGACTGAGTAACTTACAAAGCACAGAAATTTATTTCTCACAGTGCTACAGACTGGAAGCCCACGACCAAGGCATCAGCATTTGAGCTGGTGAGAGCCTTCTTGTTCTTGCCTCACATGGTAGAAGGCAGAAGGGCAAGAGGGGACAAGCATTGTGTCTTCACATACCAGAAAAGCAAAAGAGCAAACCTATTTCCCAGAGGCATTAATCCATTCCTAAACACTTCCATTAGGCCCCACCTCCCAACACTGTTGCATTGGGGATTAAGTTTTCAACACATGCATTGGGGAGACATATTCATATGCACATGCAAAATGTCCTCTAGGGGACTTTTGGGGGAGTTCCGGGGAGAGAAAGCAAGAACATCCATTATCATTTTGTGATGACACAGCTGAAATCTCTATAGCAAGTAATTAGATAAATTGGGTTTTCAGTCAGTTCAGATTAAGAGCTTTCCAGAATGACATTTTAAATACTCAGTAGTGTGCCTGGCCTCCCTTGGAAATGTCAGAGGTAAGACAAAATAATTAGGTTAATACAGTGGGCATTTATTTATTTCACATCATACTTCCCTAATAGCTCTTTATCCACATAAGACAACTAAATATTAAATCTCAAAGGATAAATAAGAAATCTTAATTACTTATTAGCTAAAGACTATAATAAAATCGATTAATAACTTTCTTAAATTATTTTTAACTTGGGACTAAAAGTATGAGAATCAAAAAAAGTCTCCCCCAATCAATCTAATATTTAGCAAACAAAAATAATAGTACAAAATTTTATCTTCTTCCGAATTGACAAAATTTAATACTATCTCAAGGTCAGGAATGAAGAACTTCTCACCATGTGCATTTTCCCCAGGAAAAATAGAAAAATCCCACTTCATTACCTATGAAGGTATGAAGAACCAGGCTGCCCATGGAAGCTATGGTGGACCCAAACTACACTTGTTCTGTCTTCATCACTGGAGAAAGTTCTCACAATGATAGAGAAGGGAAAAAAAGAGAGGACTCCCAGGAGGACTGTCTGCCATTTTCAAAAGCACTTCATGTGACCAGTGGGCCCATATCCAGGAATCCTGAGTCTATTCCCTCATAGAGAATGCACACACACACACACACACACACACACACACACACAAAAGCTTGTTTGTCCTCAGGGAATCCAGCATATTAATTTAGTCAACAGTTGAACTTGTTAACTATCGAACTTATTAAGAACAGCTGACCTGTAAGAAATTATCTCACTTAAGTTTCTTCCTTTTCTACTCCTTTCTTCTCAAAGGGACCAATGAAAATATGGACAAGTAGACTAGAGGGCAAAAATGAGAGCAATGTCCCTGACTGACCATTTCCTAAATAAACAAGAATTGGTGTATATGTACCTGCCTCCTATTCAAATAAAAAAGTATTCAATTAAGAGCCTGGAGACTAATTGGAATTTTTAATACCACAGTAAAATTATCAATAAATTGTAACAAATGATGGGAGTTCTTATAATGCCAGGTTCTGTACTATACTACTTTGCATGAATTGGTATTTCATTTAATCCACATCACTCATATGAAGTTGATATTATTGCACTCTTTCAACAGATGTGGAAGTCAGGCTTAAATTTGTTTGAAGTTGCACAGCAACTTCAGTTTTCTGGACTGAAAAGAAAGGACTTTTTTTTTCATTCAAAAACATGCTATTTAACAAATACTTATGCCTAGTGTTCTGCTGTTCTCTGGGGCTGTGCTTGAACACATCACCTGGCTCTGTCTGCAGAACACCTCCTGGCAGACTGAAGTAATTCTAAGAACTTCTCAGTCCTGTAATCTCTGATTCTCATCTGCTTTCTCTTTCCAGTGGTTAAATGGATGTACAGGTACATTTGATGATCTTCCCACATGTTCATATCTGCCTGCAGGTGGTGGGCAGGAGAATGGGAAGCATGTTCCACAACATGTGGACCCTATGGAGAGAAGAAGCGTACAGTATTGTGCATTCAGACCATGGGCTCTGATGAGCAAGCTCTCCCAGCTACAGACTGCCAGCATCTGCTGAAGCCCAAGGCTCTCATTTCCTGTAACAGAGATATCCTGTGTCCATCGGATTGGACAGTGGGCAACTGGAGTGAGGTGAGTTCAGGGGTTAAGAGGGAGATTGACATTATTCATGCTTCATCAGCCTCCCACCCATTCCTCCCCATTCACCAAATCCAAAGTGACTCCAGGTTAAATTGCATAATAGACACCATCCATCACCTCTGGCCTGTTTACTCCAGTTCCCATCACCCAGTTTTTTAGGATCTTTCTCTTTCTTGTCCATGGTCAACTAACCACCACAGATGAAGTAGATACCACTAGTATAGGCTCATAACAGCTAATTATAAATTGTCAGGATTTTTGCTGGCCTATCGTTAAATCATTGGTAATAAACCAAGGCTCCCCCATATCACCCCAAGAGCCAGTTTGTTAAACATTTGCCAGTAAATCATTGTAGTTAACTAAAACCAAAGGAGTATTGCTGTAATGATTAGGAATATACTTGACACTCAGAGAAAGTCGTTCAAATCTATATCTATTCGACATGTGTTCAGGACATCTATTATTAGCCTCATAAATTCAAATAAGCATTGCATTGTCCCCAAATTAAGTTGATCTAATTCTTTGAGTGTAAGTAGAAGTCAGAGTGCTAGAAGTTTATGAGAAAATCCCAAGTTTTAATCTTCTGTGAGTCATTATAGAGCCTGGTTCTGTTGGGCCTCATTGTGCCCCAGAGTGATTAGGGGAAGTGCTGTTCTTTCCCCAGGGTACCTGGAGTCTACATGGTCTTCATCTTCACTTGTCTGTATGCATTTCAGTCAATGACCCAAGGAATGAAACGACTAGGAATAAATGATCTCCGAAAATCAATAGGCATGAAGGTTGAGATGGGTGCTGGTGAGTTTCCTTGAGAAGCCATAAGCTTCCCATAAGAACATAGGCAGGAACTCCTCTAAGGACTTAACTTCAGAGGAAATGGAAAATATTTGATCCAGAGGACTACCACAGAAAGTCAAAACTAACTCTGTTGAGAAAGTGAGCAGTGTGATCAAATGGGATCAAATTTCTGTGTTTAAAATGATATTTGAAGCTGGGTGCAGTGGCCCATGCCTGTAGTCCTAGTAGCTCAGGAGGTTGAGACAGGAGGATCTGGAATTCAAAGCCAGCCTCAGCAAAGGTGAGGTGCTAAACAACTCAATGAGACCCTGTCTCTAATAAAATACAAAGTTGGGCTGGGATATCACTCAGTGGTTGAGTGCCCCTGAGTTCAAAACCTGGTACCCACCCCCCACAAAAATGATATTTGAGGGGCTGGGGCTGTGGGCTCAGAGGTAATGCACTTGCCTGGCATGTAGGAGGCACCAGGTTCAATTCTCAGCACTGCATATAAATAAATTTTTTTTAAAAAGGGTCTGTTAACAACTAAAAAATTTTTTTAAAATATTATATTTAATTATAAACTAAGGAAATCATTTTTCATCTATAGCTTATTAAGGTGTTCTGAAAGTATTATCTAAAGAATTTCTAAAATTTTTGTAGTGAAGTTGCCCTCTCTTGTTTAAATGCAGAACACTTATTTCAGTACATCAGCTTTGATAACCTTCTTCACAAAACTATCTTTGGTTAATTCATAGTCAATGTTTAGGTTTATTTAGCTTCTAATTCTCTGCAGGATGCACTGTTGGGCATCTAGGTAAAAAATGAAAAATGGAAATCATGGTTCCTAGATTGTAAGATCTTCTGTCAAAGGAGAGCTGTCACACCACAAAAGGTAGGAAGGAAGGGAGGGAGGAAGGGAGGGAGGGAGGAAGGAAGGGGAAGGTATGCATGCAAAGAAAATATACCACTACCACAGGTGCATTGTGGGTTTGTGCAGGTATACATGTGCACACATCAGTGATAAACCAGAACTTTCTCTTTGCTATTCTTGGGAGGTAATAATCATAGCATGAGGCTTGCCTGGCGTGTTCATCTGCTGCCACCATAGATTGCTGTAAATTACAGTGTTGTCAAAATAAGGCTGAATGGGGTATTGTGACTGGTCCATTAAATCTGTTTACCAAAAACGTGTTGGCTGCATCCAAAACAGTTAATAATTCTTGTCATGTAGAATTTACTAATTGCCAGAATCTTAATGCTTTCTCAGAGGTCTGTAATTACAGATTTGGCTGAGAAGTTCTTCTTATTATGTTCACATGTATGCACAGCATAATAACCTGTCTTCACTGGAGAACAAGGGAGAAAAAAGTTGGTATGATGTGACGAGTACTTGTATCTGTGGATTCCAAATCACAGGCATTTCATAGTCATTTGACAGCACACATGGAATCTCTAGTTTCTAGCTTGCACTCAACAAACCTGAGCAGAAAGCCTAAGCCAGTGCCTTCATTCAGGAGATGTTATTAGAAATGCTTTTAGTAAATCAACATCAAAAGATTCACCAAATGGGTGTTCCTTTCTTCCCTATACTGAGCTTCTCTCTAATGGGCTTTGCTAGAATATAATGAAATATCTTTTTCATTGCAACTATACCCAGATACTTTTTTAAAAAATATATTTATTTTTTAGTTGTAGATGGATGCAATAACTTTATTTATTTATTTCTATGTGGTGCTGAGGATCAAACCTAGGGCCTTGCACATGCAAAGCGAGTGCTCTACCACTGAGCCACAACCCTAGCGCCCCCAGATACATTTTATAAAAGAAATGACATCGTGATTCTTGATATAAAGTATTATCTGAATTTTGTCTTGATAGCAACATTATTTGAAGCAGGGGAGTACTCCAACTATACATACTCAGTTTGTCTGCACTGGGTCATGGATCACCCTGGGTGAGCCTAAAGCTCTAAGGTAACTGAGTCAAAGACCCAAGAACTGAGATACTCCTAGATTCCCATAGAATGGTCCTCCCTGGCCAACCAGGAGGGGAAGAAGAAGGAAAGGCAAGTTTATCAGATATCTCCCTATCAAGGTGTCTCCACCAACCCAAGGAATGAGAGGAGGATGGGCTCAGCCATGCCAGGCCGACACTCAACCCTAGCCCAACAGGGATCAGAAGGGGGTGTTTTCTCTCCTGCTGCCCCCAGGAAGGGGCTTACTGCCCCAGTGACCAGCTCTCTCTCTCTGTCTCTCTCTCTCTGTCTCTCTCTCTCTCTCACACACACACACACACACACACACCCCTAAGCTCATGCTCTAGAAATCCATCCACATTCTCAAGTTTTACCAAGAATCTGCTTTTGTCCAACTTACTTTGGGGGTTCAGAGGGTAAAGAAGAGGAACTCTGTTTATTTAACAAAAACAAGGCATTAGAGTTTCTGGAGTTTCCATTTTTTCCTAGGTGTATCACTTTAGTAGCATGTCTTGCGAGAAGCAGCTGATGCAGTAGTGAAGGGCATAACCCCCGAGAACATGGCTCCTGGGTTCAAATCCTGGCTTTGCCACTCATTAAAAGTGAAAGTTCAATCTGTGTCTCATTGACTTTAGTTTTCATCAGCTTGTTTTGCCCCACTTCCCTACATGTTTATTTGGCCTGTTTCTCCCACTGGTTGGCAGGCAGCCATAGGTGCAATTTGGTTTGATTTGATTTGGATACACATGTGGCATGCCTTCAGAAGTCAGGCTGAGTGTGTTTGTTTATACACAGCTACTCTTTCCAAAAGCATTTCAGGCAGTGTGTAGTGAAAGGGCTCTAGACATTGAGGTGGTGAAATAGAAGTCACGGTCATGGCTGAGAGCAGAGATCAAGATCTAAACATGAAGATAATAAGGTAACTATGATAAAGCTTCAGTTTAATCCAGTGCATTGAGGCAACAAGGCAGCACTGTGGGTTCTGTAATTGTTTCTACCCGAGAGATGGAAGGTTACCTCTTCTTCCAGAGATACCTCAGTGTAATAAATTGCCAAAGGTATGTGAGGTTTTCAATAATGGCTCCAATAATAAAATTAAAAAATGGTTCAGTCAGATTATTTGTAAAACACTATGTTAGGTGGATGATGGATGGATGGGTAACTAATAAAAGCACTGTGTCGTTGATAATTGTAGCTGACTTTGTGTATCCTAGCAGGCAGACAAGTGGACGGAGATCCCAGAGAACCATCCAGGTTCTAATCTTGTACTTCATAAACTCACATCCAGTCTCAGGAAAATTATTTCACCTTATAGGGCCTCAGTTTCTCAACAAAGCCATCATGTTACTTCATGTTACTTCTCCTATCAGATAGATGAACAAACTTAAGAGAATAGTCATTTTTCTGGGTTTTCTAGCCCTGGCAATCTTTAACTGTGTGGCCTCGAGCTAGGGTTAACCCCCTCTCAGCCTTTCCACATCTATAAAGAGAGGGTTGGTATAAAACTTGAACAAAATAACCCATGTAAGCACTTGGTATAGTACCTGACAGATAGTAAGTGTTCAGTAAATGATGACTTTACTATCAGACAAGTGAACAAGGGCCAACTTTCCATGCTACTTTGATTTTGCAAGCCTTGCCCATCAATGCACCCAAACATCCTGAAGGGATTAATCTGTGGTCCCTTGATTTTCCACCTCCTCCTTTCTTTGCTCAGGGATATTTTATTCATAAAACACTATCTGCACAGTGCATAGGCATGTCAGTTTTTTCAAGGGCCAACACAAATACCTGAGACCTGAAAAAAAAAAAAAAAACTAATGCATTACTTCTGTTAAAACAAAGGGACACTGAAAACTCAACAATCAATATTTAATTACGTATTTATTTAAAATATTTATCAGACAATTATTTTGTATATTAAACATTTTTGAATGTATAATATATTTATGTTAGTCTGCTTTTGGTTACTGTGACCCAAATACCTGATAAGAACAAATTAGAGGAGAAAAGATTGATTTTGGCTTCTTAAGGTTTCAGTGCATGGTAAGCCAGCTTCATTTCTCAGAGCCTGCGGAGAGGCAGAGCATCATGGCAGATGGGCATGGCAGAAGACAGCTGCTCAACTCATAGCAGCTGGAAAGAAGGAGGGAAGTGGCAGCAGAATATGGACTCTTCCAGTTCCATGCTGGAACTGCTTCCTCTAACTGTTCCCACCTCCCAGTAGTACATCCAGCTA